TATAAATGATTTATTACCTAAAGATGATGGCTGCATCGAAATTCAAACTATTAGAGATAAGACGATAAACAGCAAAACAATTTTGCTTGTTAAATAGATTTACTTTGACTTCCACGGTGAAGGAATAACATCGTGCAATAAAAATCAAACCCGCAAAATTATAATTTGCGTAATTACTGGTGGTAGGACCTCTTGTGAGTCCGCACGGGTAGGTACCACCGTCCCGCCTATTTCTGCCGTGAAGCAGTAATGCGTTTCGGTTTGAAGGGTGGGGCAGCCGTTGTGACTATACTGAGACCTTAGAACTATATCTCAAGGTGTGTGGCGCNCCCGTACAATTGACAGTTATGGCACTGGCTAGGAGTGCCTTTTTTATGGGGGGCTTCGATGGCGATACCGGAGAGCCTACAGACGGTCTGTGTGTTGAAGATTTTCTTACCCTCGGGGGTAGGCTGGAGGGTGACTAGAACCATATTATATGGCTCCCTACCGCGACCGGTGTGCATACGGTGCACAGAATTCACTGGAATAGTCAGTTACTGTTTTTGTTTACGTATATTTTGTTTTAACCTGGAGATTGTAAATTTAGGTCATCCGGTTGTAAACATATATGTGTATATATAAATTATTTATTACCTAAAGATGGTGACTGCATCGAAATTCAAACTATTAGAGATAAGACGATAAACAGCAAAACAATTTTGCTTGTTAAATAGATTTACTTTGACTTCCACGGTGAAGGAATAACATTGTGCAATAAAAATCAAACCCGCAAAATTATAATTTGCGTAATTACTGGTGGTAGGACCTCTTGTGAGTCCGCACGGGTAGGTACCACCGTCCCGCCTATTTCTGCCGTGAAGCAGTAATGCGTTTCGGTTTGAAGGGTGGGGCAGCCGTTGTGACTATACTGAGACCTTAGAACTATATCTCAAGGTGCGTGGCGCATTTACGTTGTAGATGTCTATGGGCTCCAGTAACCACTTAACACCAGGTGGGCTGTGAGCTCGTCCACACATCAAAGCAATAAAAAAAAAAAAATATAGATTTACAACGAATCCGATTATTTACAAAGTACATGAAATGAAACAAAAAAATCCGGGCAGAAACACACTTACACAATATTGAAAAACAGTTCTAAGAAGTTCATTAATTACACAGTCAGTTACACAAATCAATAAAAATGGAACAGTAGCTAGCTACTAACACTGACGTCAAAGTTTTAAAATTCGAACGGATGCAGATTCGATGTTATGCTAAAGAGAACCTTCCAGAGAAATCTAAGTGTAAGAAAAACAAAATAACGTGCGGACTAATTTAAAATTATAAACAATGCTCGAGCACATGACGGAACATCGGTTTATATAGAAGAGAGCAATTAAAAAAATTGAAATAAAACTGATTTCGCTCATAATTATTATCGCTCAAGCCATTTGGTCTTGAGTGGTAGCGAGTTCTCGGGGCATCTATTGTTTAGCTATAATCGCCAACTATGGACATAATGTCACGGATTTGGCCGGCGTGTTGGTTGCCATAAAATAGGTAATTTCCTTAACTTTCCTGTGAAGAGGGAGCACCTTTTAGCGGTAGGCAGCGGCTTGGCCCTGCCCCTGGCATTGCTGAAGTCCATGGGCGACGGTAACCACTTACCATCAGGTGGGCCGTATGCTCGTCTGTCTACAAAGGCAATAAAAAAAATAAAAAACCTCCTAAATCCAATTCGGAGATGGGCAGTACAGGGTAAAAGTTTAAAAGTAAACCCAACAGCAATGAGCGGAACTGTGGTAACAAGAGAAGATAATTCCGGTCTTGATTTTGGGTCCCCAAAGTACACGCTAGTGAAAAGATGATTGAGCGCACCAAAAGAGCTACAATTAGAGACATCCTCAATGATTCGAAGAGTTTGTGTCTGTAGGGATTCAATTGAAATATACTGATATTTAAGAACGATCGACCCGAAGTATCAAAGGCTAATTTTGATTGCGGCAACCCTTTTGTAAAGTAAATATTTTTGATGACGTATTATTTTCTTGTAAAGTTTGCCATGCTTTCTTGAACACATTTTAAGTTATTTATACCTTTGCGTTATTCTACATTGTGTGAAACAGTCATAATAACGTGTATAATAAATGAATACATATTTGTGAATAACACTACAAGGTGATCGTGACGTATTGAGTGCATTATGAATAACTCATTATGATTCTAAAAACAGAATAACCTAGATCGCAATTAGTACTGAATTTTTAATAGTTTCATAAGTGATCACCGTAGCCTGCAAGATGACATTATTGACACAACCTTGGGGCATGAGATTGAAGTTTTAATATTATTGTATGACGGCTGTTCAAAGCTTCAAAGGTGGGGGATTCAAGGGTTTTTTTTATTATTTTTTATTGCTTAGATGTGTGGACGAGCTCACAGCCCACCTGGTGTTAAATGGTTACTGGAGCCCATAGACATCTACAACGTAAATGAGCCACATACCTTGAGATATAGTTCTAAGGTCTCAGTATAGTAACAACGGCTGCCCCACCCTTCAAACCGAAACGCATTACTGCTTCACGGCAGAAATAGGCGGGGTGGTGGTACCTATCCGTGCGGACTCACAACTGGTCCTACCACCAATAATTACGCAAATTATAATTTTGGTTTGATTTTTATTGCACGATGTTATTCCTTCACCGTGGAAGTCAATCGTGAACATTTGTTGAGTACGTATTTCATTAGAAAAATTGGTACCCGCCAGCGAGATTCGAACACCAGTGCATCGCTCGATACGAATGCACCGGACGTCTTATCCTTTAGGCCACGACGACTTTCGTGCGTGCCCGGCTGGAGTTACAATTCCTAAATAAGTTCATCTAGTTTTTCGTGTGATCGCTGCAGTGATGGTACACATTCTGACTTCTGCGATGGTGATTAAAGATTTCTTATAATACTTTAGGATGGTTTTTATTATGGAAATTCTTCTTGGACTTCTTGTAACAATTTTTTTTTCGCGCCAATATTGGATTGCTTAATAAATTTGATTATAGTATTATACTCTTATAATATTCGAGCATCAAAACTACAATTTTAGTAAGGTAAACCAGGCGATGCATCGCTCTGAGTACTGTTATTAAATATGTAGATATATGTAGGTATGCATGCACTAATGAAATATATTCGCAAGCTTACTGTTGCACATTGATAGTCGGTCTTACAATGTCACTTGAGTCATAATAACATAAGTTTCAATTTTCAACTTGTGCAATAATCATATTCGAACATATGACGAACGAAAGCAATGGACGAGAATTAATATTAAATGAAGATTTTGTGATTAAATATCCGGTCCCCATTCAGTAGTTTTTATAAAGTGTCTTAATCTCGAGGTTTACCGACTAATACAGAATGAGTTATCAGAACTTTATAAGACCGTTATAAGAAGACTATTCAAGAGTATTATCATAATCATTCAATAGAGCAAAGCCACTCACTTCATTCCGGTAATTTTAAAGCCAAGGTCTTGCTATAACCCTATTGTATATAAGTGCTCGATATAATAATAAATCATGGCCGACTTCGGTCAGATCTTTCGTATTTTAATGAATTTTCAGTATTTATATGCTTTTGACGTTTTTTTTAACTTTGATTGACTTTTGATTGATAATTTCAACCAGAATGCAATATTTTGGAAATAAAACTCAAGATAACAATCGATCATGATTTTTTACTGGTGGTAGGACCTCTTGTGAGTCCGCGCGTGTAGGTACCACCGCCCTGCTTATTTCTACCGTGAAGCAGTAATGCGTTTCGGTTTGAAGGGTGGGGCAGCCGTTGTAACTATACTGAGACTTTGGAACTTATATCTCAAGGTGGGTGGCGCATTTACGTTGTAGATGTCTATGGGCTCCAGTAACCACTTAACACCAGGTGGGCTGTGAGCTCGTCCATCCATCTAAGCAATAAAAAATAAAAATGATTAGAATTGGATCGGATTTGGACCATTTGATTGTTGAATACAATAAAAAGAAATAAAAATGTTCATAGTTTTTCCTTGTGTCGTGGTCGTGTTATCGTGGTAATTTTTTTATAGAACGTTTGATAGACTTTAATGACGTTTCAACTAGTTTCATTTTCTACTTTCGATAACTTTTTTGTTTGGATTATGACTGTTAACTTTTAAGTGATATTCTAAAAAGTAATGGGTTTCAAATGAAAATATAAAATATGTACGTATGTATAAAGCGATAAGATAACAGAATTTACAAAAACTTTTGTTAAAATTTATGTTATTTTTATAGATGGATTATAAATTATATAAATTAATTTTTGTTTAATAAATTTTAAATATTTGAATGTAAACAAACATCTATTCATTTTTTTTTTTAATTTCGTGAAAGCTATGACACAGATGTGCAACTGCTACTATTACTTTCAAATACCGTTAATTTACAATGTTTTCATATTTATTTGCTCAAAATAAAAGTTGCAGTAATTTTCACAATGATGCAATTTTTAATGGGTACTTTCAATAATCTCTACTCATGTTATAGATATTTTTAAACTAAAATTAACCTAACCTAACAAAATACACATTTGTTTTCATATATATGATAGTAGAATCTTAATCATAATTAATATTAATTTTGCATTGCCCTCTTCTACGATGCATACGAAATGAAATTTTTAGCACCTGTAAACATATTTCCTTACAGCAAATCAAGTGAAAACATTTATAAATGAATAAAGCTAATAATGATACGAAAATCTGTGATAAATGTGTAAACCAATCAAAATTGGATATAAAATTCACAATATTATCAAATCGCAATAACTTATATCAACGATAAGATTCACGACAGCAACAACGAATTCTCATAAACTTACACACGTATCGAGATCATGTTTTTCGTTCAATGAAATTGTGCTGTATTGTCTTATTATTATAATGTCTAAATTTAATTATACATTGTACGTTACGATTCGCTGTCCTACCACGCCATTGTAAGCAGTTTGTATATGTGCAGCCTGTCCGGGTGTCCGCGCGCCGATCGCTCCCAACTCCAGCCACATTCCCAAGAGCTGAAGTGTCCGACGCCGGGCTGTGATGGATCCGGTCACGTCACCGGCAACTATTCCTCACACCGGTCCCTCTCCGGCTGCCCGAGGGCCAACAAGCCGAAGAGCAAACCCAGAGACGGCCAGGATTCGGAGCCTTTGAGGTAAGTTCATATTTAAAAAAAAAACAATTGCGTAATTTAGACGTAGCAATATAAAGATATACTAAAGTTTTGACTAACGTTTATCGTACATTTTGCGTGTAGTATTGTGCTAAATACACAGAAATTAGATCCGCAAGTCATATAGTTCCACTACTACCTACTGATTATTCCATAAGCCGTCTCGATGCGTACTGACTGACATTGAAATATCGAGTTACGTAAGTAGACATTACGTAAACTGAAAAAAAAACAATACTTTCCTCGCTCTCGCATAATCTACGTCAGGTTTACAATGAGTTTCTTGATTTGCACGCCGCTTAGATGCCCTATACCGGGCTGTGACGGATCTGGACACGCTACAGGGAAATTCTTATCGCATCGAAGGTAAGAATCGTACCACAGTGCCATATAGATATCGTACCGTAGATACTAAACAACAAATTCATAGTTACGTACATATTAGTGTCAAACGCATCTATTAATTTACTTCAACAGCGCATCGGGCTGTCCAATTGCGAATCGGAATAAAATGCGGGTCTTGGAGAGTGGCGGAACCGTCGAACAACACAAAGCCGCTGTGGCCGCAGCCGCTTCAGCCATCAAATTCGATGGAGTGAACTGTCCAACGCCCGGTTGTGATGGATCTGGCCACATAAATGGATCCTTTTTGACGCATCGGTCGCTCTCCGGCTGTCCAGTAGCCGGAGCCGCCACTCCTACGCCGCAACCAACGAAAAAACCCAAGTACCCGGATGATATAACACCGCTGTATCCAAAACCATATTCAGGTTTGTATTACTTTTCTATTTATACACATATATCATAATCGTAAAAACTCAAATTTTAACTTAAAGCTTTTGGTAATTCTTCAGGAATGGAGATGAACATGCAAACGGGAAACGGTGAAGATCTGATGACATTAGAACAAGAAATTACCGAACTTCAACGGGAAAACGCAAGGGTCGAATCGCAGATGATGCGCTTGAAGTCCGACATCAACGCGATGGAAACTCAACTGACACATGGAGAGCGAGTAAGTGTCACAATAAAACAAGACCAAGAAGACTAAAACTCCTTTTTATTTTGATGTTAGTGACTGTCGACTCCATAATAGTAAATGGATGTTTTTGTCCCGTGACCTAGATGGTACTGTCATGGCTTCAAACGTCCAACTTTGAGTGCCACTAAAACAGCATTTGTGAGTACTATCTCTATTGTAGTCCAGTCGAAAAATTACATGAAGGTTGATTTACGACGAACAGTTACTGTTTCTCGAACATGCGTTGCCAAGGATATTGCTAAAGAATATTGTTTGCTGCTGGGACCAACCGTTACAAATCTGGTTCAAAATCTTTTTATGGTAATGAATGCGAAGAAACTTTGTAGAATAGGATAGCCGTTATAGCGATGAAACTGAAACCTGGACCTTATGTCTATGGCAATAACGATCTCGCCCGCATCGTTCGATTAACTCTTTCTGTGTCGATCAGCTTTTTAACGTTTATTTTGTTTTTCATTAAGAAAACTGATGAACAGACGTTGATTTCAGGAGAATCAACTGATAACCCAACGCAACAGCAACTTGAACGAGTACTACGAGAGTCTGCGGAATAACGTGATCACGCTGCTCGAGCACGTACGCATCCCGGGGGGAGGCGCCGCCCCCGCCCCGCCCGCGCCCGCCCCCGCCGCACCCGACAAGCCCGCGCACGACAACTTCGACTCCTACCTCACCAAGCTGCAGACGCTCTGCTCCCCGGACGGGTACTGTCCGGACGAGAACCGCCCCATCTACGAAACCGTCAAAAACGCGCTCCAGGACTTCACGGTGCTTCCTACGCCCATTTAAGGGTCGCCGAGCGCCGCCGACTCAGACCGACAGTGAACGTTCACCGGCGACCTCGGCGGGGCTTTACGTCAAACGGACATTTCCAATAAAATGTGTACCCGTGTTCATACTGTCCCCACATAGTCTGTACCAGTTTCGTCAATATCATACACATTTTAACAAAAAGTACCGATTCAAAGTATACGTACCATTTAATTATTTTTTTGCCTACGTATAAAATACTACGTATACGTTTAAAAATATAAAAAGCACTAAGTCAGTCACAACATAATAATATGTGCAAGTGGGACAGTCACAAAAGTAACATCGAACATTTAGGACGACGTGAGATTGAACTGGTGATTTTTTAACTCTGTAATTGTGAATGAGTATTCTGTGTATTTCGTGATCTGTGGACGAAACTCAAACCAAAGATTAATGTCGTTTGTGCCGGAACGACTCGAACGTCAGCGTCGTACATTTAGGACGCGGGTGGATATTTGTGTTCTACTATTAGGCAATGATGTCTGATCTCTTTAAACCGTTGTATACGATGTGTGACCTATCTAAGACATCGCGTTGCTCGAACGAGGGTTCGTTGGTCGTAGTTAAGCTGGACTAAATTACTATAAATAAATTTTAAAAACTTGTTACTACTCGTATGCTTAAATTAATGTAATTGTTAGGAAAAGTTTATACTTGTACGTGAGCGGTTTTAGAGTCACACGAAAACATTAAATTATCATTTTAATGTAAATATTGTATCTACATTTCGTATTATAAATATAGTTATCGTAATAACCAAGACCCGTTCGTGCGGGTACATTTTAGCGAAACGATATACGAGCGAACAGATTTTATCAAACAGGAAATATTGTAGCGTATAAGGAAAGTGTTACTATTAAATTTCATTATTACTGGGAATGTGCCAAATGCTTCGAATACGCAGCAGCTCCCGACCGCTGATATTATGTTGAGTTAACATTAATATTACGTAAGCAAATATAAACGAATCCTTAGAGGACAGTCAGTTCTAGTCAGTTTGTTTTGTAAATATAAAAAAAAATGTGAATACTTAAATGTCACGTCGTAGGGACGTATTTATTTGTATTAGGTAATACGAGATCTCACTAGATCGTTGTAAGTTAATTCAGTCATTAATTAATAATGTATTTTAGGTATAAAAATTTAAACGTACATTCTTTGTTAGCCAATGTTCTCCTGCTGTGATTATGTTACATGTTAATTACTTATTTATTGTTACCTCGGCCCTAAACGGGATGTGATAGGTTAATTATCTTTTATTCTTGTAGTTGTTGATTTGCTGTTTCATTTGAAGCAAGTTTCTGATAAACAATTGATGTGCAATTTTTTTTACTATTTTCGTAAAGTTGGTGTATTTTTTATTGAGATTTTCATTTTTAATGTTGTGAAATGTCAACGGTACACAGGAATATAATTATTCGCATTTAAATATTAAAACCTAATAAGATAATATGTTACTACTCTGTCAAATACTTACGTTTCTGTAATATATTGAGTATGTGTTGTTAAAGAATAAAAATAATAAATACCAAGATTATAACAATCATTTAATTTTTCCCTGTATTACATACTTTTTATTTTAGGTTAGGTTAGGTTAGTTTACCCCGTTTAGATAGTTTTTCATAGTCAATTCTACATGTTCATGTTATTAATGTTATTATTATTTACTATTTACTTAAATCCTACGATTTGTCAGTTCTGAGTCTCCGAAACGTCTGAACTGATTTATAATGAGGTTCTCAGTAAAAATTATCACGAATGTACTCCACTCTAGAAGAATGGAGTAAATATTAAAGAACTATAGAATATCAAGCTATTGTCTAAACGTGAGCAAAAGCGGCGTTTTATCATAATAAGGCGATTAACCTGTGACGTTCATCTTATCTACGAATTCCAGTAAATATAAAGTGGAATATGCTATGATTCCACTGTTTCTAATATTATAATAAATTATAAAGTAATAATTGCTTTTTTAATTTTGAAAGTACCTTAGCTACAAAAACAAATTCTGTTAGTAAAATTCCCTTTTGCTGCAATATTCATTGACGTTGACGTTTAAATTTTACATTGACATGTCATAGTAAATATGTCAAAACAAATGAGTGCAAGGAAAAAGCTAAGCACGTTGTTTCTAAGATTTATTGGAAAATAAAACTGTCGGAAGTAATATTTTATTTAAGATAAAATGAAAGTACCCCGCCAGGTTTGTTAACTTCAAAGCAAATATTAAAACTCTCCTATTTGAGTTGAATTTCATATAGCTAAGTCGATGTTTATTTTTTACAGAAAAATCAAAACAATCCCGCTCAAAAAAACGTTAAATCAGAACAAGAAAATAAAAATGAATCACAAAAGGTACATAATTACCAATAGGTATCCGTGCAGAACCTTTAAGAACAGAATAATATTTGAATGTTCTCGACTTCGTTGGTAACCTAACCAAAGTAGCTAGAATTAATGCTTTTTTTAATTGCCTTTCTAGGGAGATGAGGATACGGCCCACCGGATGGTAACTGGTCACCGATGCCCATGGACGTCAACAATGCCAGGAGCACAGCTATGCCACTCTACTGGCCAAACATGAATGTTTACCAAATGTAGTATTACTAAATGAAATCTTCAACAAATATTAGGTTATCTTAATGTACAAGTTTTTCCGCAATCTACAATCTAGCAAATATAGGCTTAAAAGAAGTTTTTACTTAAAAGAAAGAAAAAAGTTGAACTAACACTAAAACTACCACTTGTACTTACATCAGTAAATTTCAATAAAAACAGTATTAGTTACTCCTCAAACATATGTTTATTATATAATACATTTATTAGCTGCTCCTAAAAAACCATAATTATATTGTGAACATTATTTATCTAAAATTATAGAAAGAAGTGAAACGCTATTTTGAATTGGATAAAGCAGACAGTAAAACTGACACAAAAACAGATGAAGTTAAAGTTTATAATGTGAAGGTGACTCCAAGGATTCTCTGGAATCAAAAACAGAAGGTAAGCAAAGCCCAGATCATAAGGTAAAAATAGTATTACTGTTGCCTAATTCATTCATATTTATTTCTTTTAAAACAGAGTGCTGTTTCAGTCCAATATTAAAAACACTAGTATTTTGACATTGCTGCTTAAGCCTAAAGCTCGGATATGGTGAATTTTGCATTTCTGGGCTGTAAGTCCAAGCTTCCATTAGGCACATTATAATTTAAGGTGACCTGGGAAAAACTTAGCTGACTGACAATCAGTATAGGTTAAATGTTGTTAGACAAAAAGGAAGATGGGTAGATTCAGGAGACCAATTTTATTAAACACAATTATTACACAGCAGTTAATAGTAGATAGTCACAGAAGAAATACAATTATCATGATAGAGAATGATTATAATAGAAGAGGTTTAAATAGAGTATGACACATGGCTCACGATATTGTTTCACTTCATAATGTATACATATATATATAATGTGTTCATAATGTAATGTATGTAGTGTGATTAATAATGTACATGGAGATAAGGAATCACCAGTGATAAACACAAGAAAAATCTTATATGATAATAATTTCTAATTTCAAAATTATAAAGTTAAACGACCCTGGCTTTCTGGAGCTACCACTATTTGTCTAGTATAAATTATCAAAAAATTGTCAAATTAATTAAATCTCAATAAAATATACAGGATCAAAAAAGAAAATTCTTAAAAAATGAATATGGAAACACATTCAGTCAAAGGAAACAGAAGAAAAAGTATCCAGGGAAAGCTCCTATTGACCCCAAACGATTGGAGAAGCATTCCAGAGGTGAAGGCTTACAAGGAATTGGTGTTAGAAACCCAATACATAAATTAAAATTACAAAAAAAAGAAAAATTATACCAGAAGGCATTAGAACAAGCTGCTCGCTCTGAGATATTATTAACTGAAGACCAAGGGTGAGTACTATAAAATATGATAATCAAAGAGTAAACCGAACCCCCAAACCTTTTAATTTATATAATTATTTGTGGCATGAACAGATGAATTTAAGACCCACATAATAAACCCTTTGCACTCGAGCCGCTAGCGCAAACCAACAGCTCGAGATGATTTCACCCAAAGGAGGTAAAAGTTTTACAGGTACTTTAAAATATATATAGAAACAAGCATATACAAATAATAAAATTTCGCCAGTTTGTTCATTCATATTTTGAAAACAACAAACTTTATTAAACACTGTAATTAGTTTTAGTGTGATATTTAATGAAACAATTGCTGTCTGCATGGTGCATCTTTTGTTTATCAGGATATGTTTCAGAGTAATAAGAAATTTCCCATCTACCTCCAGGCCTGTTACAGTCAGAGCAAAACTTAAAGTTCCGTTTTGGCGCATTTAGTATCACGTGAAGGTTCTAGTTGAGACTAAATGAACTGAGCTACGAATTGGCTCAGTCCACGAAAGTACTTTAAGGAAAAAAATCTTATCATACATCATAAACAAAGAGATCGAGATACAAAGAACGTAGCACCGTCGCTCGATTTAAGACTTCAAATCAGCTACTCGAGTGCAAAGGGTTAAGTAGTTACCATAGCCCAAATACTACAACTATTATTTATTTAAACCCTTAACATAAAATATAAGAGATACTTCATGAGATAAACATATATTTTTCCTTGCTTTCAGTTATGTCGAATTAGAAGACGAAGATTCAAATACTCGAGCTATAAACCAACAGATTATTGCTCGGAATATTGATATAGCAGCTGCGACAAAAATATTTGAATTAAATTTAGATTTTGGTCCATACAGAGCTAAATATTCAAGGAACGGTAGATATTTACTATTAGGCAGCAAAAAAGGGCACCTGGCCTCATTCGACTGGGTAACGAAAAAGTTAAACTTCGAAATTAATGTGATGGAGTCAATACATGACATCAGGTAAAATATCTGAGATATGGTCTTCTCGCATTAAAACTGTATAATCTCAAAAATTACTAATTTTACAGGAAAGTGTTTTAAATGTTTAACATGTGATATTTTTAATACTACTCATCTTTGCAACTTTTATTTTTAATATAATTAAATTATTATATTTAATATATTATAATTAAATTATTAAAAAAAAATATTATCTGTCTTTTAAGACAGATAATAATTTTTTTTATCTTACTTTAAAAAGTAAGATAAAATTATGTATTAATTTTGTAGTAGTCAAAACATAGGTAAACTAAAAAAAAAAACTAAAACTAAACTACGCTTTTGACACGCTATTTATGAGAAAAATACTGGTGATACCAAATGATTCAGCATATTAGCTCAATTTCGAATATTTTTGGAAATTGTGCACTTTTAATGCGAAAAGACGATATGTCTTCTCCTTCCTGGTCGTTCCTTCATCACTGAGGATCGCGACCACGCATATGTAAGTATTTCTATGAAGATCGGTCTGCTAAGAGGAGAACTGCCTGTTGGATGCTGCCCCCAACTGTCGTCCTTTTAATGTCCTTAAGATCGATACCTTCGTAATGTGGTGGTGGAGAAGGATGCTACGCATACCGTGGACTTCCATGAGGACCACTGAATCCAAGAACTCCATATCAGATATCCATTATCCTATCACAAATGACAATATAAATAATATAATTTGTAAAATATAATCTTTAATTTCAGTTGGCTACATATAGAAACAATGGTTGCTGCCGCACAGAAGGATTGGTTGTACATTTACGATAACACAGGTACTGAACTACACTGTGTGAAAACGATCAGCAAAGTACTCAAAATGGAATTCTTGCCCTACCACTTTCTGTTGGCATCTGTGGTGTGTATCCAATATACTGACATATAAACATGGCTGAAGGTTTTTAGAAACTGAAAACAATAATGCGGTAGGGCTGGCACTTCATAACTTCGTTGGTAGGGTGAAAGGGGTCCGCTAGCCGACTTCGCTTTACATTCATCTGTGGTATCATAAGATCACTAAATCTATACTAATATTACGCGCTTAGTCTCGGAATATATAACACTTTTACAAATTAAAACTCTTATTTAACACTTAAAACACTTAACATAAGGCACACTTCAACATAATTCTCAATTCACTTCTCCCGCTTCGCTTCAGCTGATCCGTTCGCTGTTTCGCTTCGAGCAGAACCGATTACTAACGGCCGTTATATCATCTCTGTTATAGTTGACACGACTAGTCTACAATTATCGAGAACATTTCCAGTAGTACTAGTCGTTTCGATATGCGTTTTCGCTATATTTTGATAAAAGATGGCGTTCACTTTTCGAGCGTTCTGGATATTACTAGTTCTTTAGATATTCGTTTCTGCTATTTAATGACAAATGGCTGTACTCTTACCGGCATAACAATAACTTAAACAACTGAATTTTTTTTTATTGCTTAGATGGGTGGACGAGCTCACAGCCCTCCTGGATTTAAGCGGTTACTGAAGCCCATAGACATCTACAACGTAAATGCGCCACCCACCTTGAGATATGAAATCTGAGTATAATTACAACGGCTACCCCACCTTTCAAACCGAAACGCATTACTGCTTCACGGCAGAAATGGGCAGTACCCGTGCGGACTCACAAGAGGTCCTACCACCAGTAATTACGCAAATTATAATTTTGCGGGTTTGATTTTTATACACGATGTTATTCCTTCACCGTGGAAGTCAATCATGAACATTTGTTGAGTACGTATTTCATTAGAAAAATTGGTATCCGCCTGAGATTCGAACACCGGTGCACCATTACACACGAATGCACCGGACGTCTTATCCGTTAAGCCACGACGACTTCAAAATTATTTTTATAATATTTATGCTAAGCTTAACAAATTAATATTGTTTTTCGTTTTAACCGTCACCAATAACCGTTAAAATTAAGCACTTGTTTCTTTTAGAACGAATACGGTTTCCTATCATGGTTGGATATATCAATAGGAGAGATAGCGGGAGAATGTAACAGCCGGGCAGGAAGACCAAAAGCCATGACACATAACCCATACAACGCCACGCTCTGTCTCGGCGATTCTAAGGGAGTGGTCTCATTGTGGGCTCCGACCGTGAAGGAACCCTTAGCAAAGATCCTGTGCCATAAAACACCCGTGTCTGCTATTTCCGTGGACAATAGGGGATTGTGAGTATATTTTTTATATAACGGTAGGCAGTGCTTGGCTCTGCCCCTGGCATTGCTGAAGTCCATGGGCGACGGTAACCACTCACCATCAGGTGGGCCGTATGCACGTATCCCTGCAAGGGCAATAAATAAAATAAAAAATAGTTTATACTATACAGAAGTACATTATATTGTGCGGTATTCTTCCTGTGTGAATATTATATATTAATCTGTAATGTTTTGTTATAACTAAAATACCTTGTTAGAAAATGTAGGAATTGTGTATTGTATGACATGAGTCAATTTAAAAAAATATATACAAGGAATTTATTATGTTTATCTGTCATCACTTGTTATCTATCACCTTCCACGATGAAAGAATAACATTGTGTAATAAAAATGAAACCAGAAAAACTTATATGTATATTTTTATGAAAATATACTAGATACTAGTAGTATCTGTACTTAAGCCCGCGCGGATGAGCATCAGCTATTTCTACCGCGAGACATTCGTACGTTCCGATCAGATGTGTAAGAAAATTGCAATACATCATTGAGACTTTAATCTCGAGTGTCAAGGTTTATCTTGAGGTCTACAAGGCTTACAAGGTCTATGGGCAATAGTTACAACTTAAGGTAGACCGTGAAGTCAACAGCCCATCCAATGGAATTCAAAATAAGAACCAGTTGACAATAGATTTCATAGATAGATAGACTTGGTGATTAGAGATGTGAATAGAGTTGTCGATTAATATCGAAATGAGATGTACTTAATTTTAAAAGCATTTAATTTATATATTTATTATATTTTGTACCTGAGTTTTTTTCTATAAAACTGAAGAGATGCGAAATATATTTTTTAAAAACTTATTAAATTTTTCGTTTTCCAGGTACATGGCGACCTCTGGTGTTGACAGAAGTATAAAAATTTGGGATATAAGGAACTTGGATGGTCCATTGCAGCACTATAAAGTGTGGTCACCACCAGTTGACTTAGACTTCTCGCAGAAAGATATGCTTGCTGTGGGGTTCAACGAAACCGTCGAGATATACAGGTAGCCTTTTCTTTTTAGCCCAAAACAAACAACGAGCTAACTTAATATGAGATACGTTTTATGATTGGTCGGCTTATATTAAAAAGAGTATAAAATATGTTAGAATTATTAGATTATATTAAGATATTTAAAATTTATATTATTTATATACTAATTTGATTGCTTATCTACTGATCATTCGTACGATGTATGCTTGAGCAAAGAAATCACCCATCCCTAGTATTAACTCTTGACTTCGTTATTTAGAACAGTTCCGTGTACTCTGCGACGTTACCCTAGAATATGCAACTGCATCCTGCTAGCATTCACTTGCAGAAAAGCACACAAAGTGTATGCGATTGATAGAAACTAATGAAAGGTCCACATGTTCTTCTAGCTTACGTCAATCCCAAGTATTGAATGTGTAATTAAATTATGTATTATAAGTATCTTTTAAATTATTTTGTTTCAGTAATTGTTGCACACAAACTGTATCAAAACCGTATTTACGACACAAGATGGCGAAGACTGTGAATAATTTCAAGTTCTGTCCTTTTGAAGATGTCCTCGGTATAGGCACTGATCGTGGTTTCACAAGCATTATCGTTCCAGGTAAATATATGGAATTCAAATAGTTCATAATCAATAAAAAAGGTAGGTAATTTCTTTTTAATTAATTTACACAATGTAATTATCACACTTTTGATGGTCCACTCAGATCAGTTGGACCAACATTTGATGTGGTTGACTAAGCAAACAATTAATAAAGCAATTAAATCTAATACGAATGAGATGATGTTGATGACGAGAGATGACGTTTTTCTGAATGTTATTACTTAATCTGAACGTAATTATTTAATCTTTCATTTATGAACGACCTAATTAGTTAAATTTTCTCGAAAAATAAAACTACTTAACAGAAGATCATTTTTATCAAATAAGGCTTAGTGGAAATGGGAATTTTGTAAAAATATATTTTATATTATTCAGGCAGTGGTGAACCAAACTTCGATGCTTTGGAAAGCAATCCGTTCCAAACGAAAAAACAGAGGAAAGAAGCCGAGGTCAAGGCGCTGCTCGAGAAGATTCCAGCAGAACTTATCACTCTTAATCCGTTCGAGGTCACGGAAGTGGATGTACCTACGATGAAGGATATTATAGACAGCAAAAAGAAATTACTGGTAAATAAAAAATTATCGTATATCTAAAAAATAACAAGCATTCGTTATATCGAGTGTACTCAATGCCTTTTTTTTCTAAATTATTTATGAAAAAACTTGGCTTATTTTTTTTTTATTTCATTGATTTTTATAAATGAGATGGGGTCTATAATGATAAGTGGTTACTGGATCACATCACATAACTGGGATGCAGTCACATTAAGACATGAAGTTGAAGTTTCTAAAGCTACTATATGTAATGAGTTTCGATGTGAAGGGTGGAGCATCCATTGTACCGTAAACCTAAGACTTAGAACTTGTGTCCTTAGAACTTAACACCAAGTGGGAGGTGAGTTCGTCCACCTACCTAAGCAATTAAAAAATGTATATATATTTTTATTGCATAGATAGATGGATGAGCTCAGTGGTTATTGAAGCCCATAGACATTTACAAATGCGCCACTCACCTTGAGATGTAAGTTCTATGGTCTCAGTATAGTTACGACGGCTGCCCCACCCTTCAAACCGAAACGCATTACTGCTTCACGGCAGAAGTAGACAATATAACGGCTGTGCCACCATTTAAACTGAATTTTATGACTACGCCAGAAATAGGCAAGAATATTGTAGTACATAATAAACAGTACCAAAACTAATTACGCAGTTTTATAAGTTTGCGGGTTTGATTTTTAAACAATATTATCCCTTCATAGTGGATGTCGTGGATATGTGTTAAATCGTATTCCTTAGAAAAATTGATCTCCGTCTGCTGAATTTTAATACAGGCACAGTCCCATTACTTGACACTGGTACATTTAACGTTTCATCGTATATATCTCGACCATTATATGCAAAGAAATTTGGTAAATTTTATTTTTACTATTATTTTTTCTTTCTCTAGCACGTTAAGCCCAAGAAAGTGGATATGACACCGCGTCGCAAAAACAAAGGCCAAACTCATATTGCAAGAAAGAAAATTATAAAGGATGCCGCCAGGAGGGTTAGTATAGTAGCCAGCATTTTCTTTTTTTTTTGTACAAATTTTCAGTTGCTCTCGCTGATGCGACTTTTGAAACGTGTTTTCAAATTCATCAAATCTATTCTTTAACCAGTTTCATGTTGATCTCATAACTTTTTGCAATAAATTATACACAACACAAATATTCAAAGCCTCTTTCTTTTCTAGATTTAGCAATAAACAGTTCTAAGGGATAGTTTATAATAATTGTCATTATTTTATTTACAACATTTATTTTATTTTACAGGACCACATTGAAAAACTGAAAGCAGCCAGCGCGCTTTATGAAAAAGATGAACAAAAGGAAAAACCAGTTAGAAAACAATCGTTCGGTGTTTTAGATAGATTTGTCTCTAATCCTACTAAAAGTAAAAAATAAACAATTAATTGTATAACGTCAATTTTATTTGCAACGTCATTTCGATAATAATACGTCAACTTTACACGATTATGTAATATTTATCTTATCTACATGATTTTATATGTATAACATAAAATGTCTTCAAAAAGTTGTCATTGCGTTTTCTATAAAGATTTATAATCAACAAGGAATATCAAAAAGTTCGCATAATCCTTCTGTGTTGCTCAAGGAAAACAGGAAATCGTACTTCGAAGCCGGAGGACTAAGTCGCAAAAGGCAATCTGCAACAAAGAAATGAATTTATAATTTTTAACGGCCGTCTGGTGTAGTGGTAAGTGACGTGGTCACTACACAAGGGGGCCGCGGGTTCGAATCCTGCCAAGGGAAGATATTTGTATGATAAATATAAAATGTATTTTCCAGGGTTATCGATGTATATTAACTATATGTATGTGTATAATAAAAAACTTACATTTATTTCCGTTATCTGGTACCTGTAATACAAGTTCTTTGGGACCAGTTAACGTGGCGTGATTGTTAGTAAATATTTATTTAATATTTATTATTTATTGATGTAGAGGTTAGAATAACGTGCATCTTTTGATGTTANTAAATATAAAATGTATTTTCCAGGGTTATCGATGTATATTAACTATATGTATGTGTATAATAAAAAACTTACATTTATTTCCGTTATCTGGTACCTGTAATACAAGTTCTTTGGGACCAGTTAACGTGGCGTGATTGTTAGTAAATATTTATTTAATATTTATTATTTATTGATGTAGAGGTTAGAATAACGTGCATCTTTTGATGTTACTGTGACTGATACCTAGTCGATCAGGTAAATTTAAAAAAAGGTGACCTTTTTTTAATTTTCTTTGTGAACGAATTTAAGTTTTTTTACTATTTTAGACAATAATGACAAACTTTCGAGCAATACTTAATACAAAACTATGAATAATATAATTGTGACTAAGACACATGAAAATGATCATTATTGAATTCAACTTTATACCTTTATAAATACTTACCATTTATTAATGATGCATCTTCTGAGTTTTTGAAACATTTGATATTATTATCTTCCATTTCGTTATTACTATTTGTCTGTGAATAAATGATCACATTTAAATAGTAAGCAGTGTTGAATGAATAATTTTGCTTGGTTATTCTCCCTTGTCAAAACGTTAGTGTCGGCGGCATTTACATCGCCATGCCCTGTCTATGCTTTGATGACCACTTATTACCAGACTGAGAACTTATCTGACTCACTTATAGTGCAGCAAACAATTTGCAAAAATAATGTAAGAAAAATGGTCAAGGTAAGTTACTCTAGTTGATAATTCTAAAGTGATGCATTCATTGATCAAGATATGACATCCATTATTACAATAAGGTTGAATCTTTTCTCGGGTCTTTAACAAAAATTTCAACTATATTTGACGTTGTTTTATTTTTTGTAAATAAAAGAAAACTTATTGCGGCATAACTAAAGTAGTTAGACATATGCTGTCGCGACACTTTTTGTAAATAATAATGTGTTCTACAAAGTCGTAGTACATTATTTTATTCTATCATCACTAGTTTTCGCAGGGTGCGTGATGTAAAGAATATTTTAGGTAATTTTTTTACACCTTGGGTTACATTATTGGTGTTAGTAAGGATCCCTAATTTTTTTAAAAAAGAGATTATAGCTTATGTCACTCGGGAATATTGTAGCTTCCAAACAGCATAAGAATTTTTCAAATCGGTTCAGTGGTTTCGGAGCCTATTCAATACAGACAAACAAACAAATATTTCCTCTTTATAATATTAGTATAGATATTATTTTTATTACTTTTATCTATTTTTATTATTCCAAGGCCTATATCTATATCTCTCAAGGCCTATATCTCTGTTATTCGTATGTCATCTATGAGCTCTGGTAACTATGTTACCACTTGTATCAGGAGTCACTACCCACTGCTATAAGATACAATAAAGAACGCTTTAAAAAGCTTAAAATACCTCTTCGTCTTCATACGCCTCCTCTTCCTCCCCCTCCTTATCGTTTAGCAACACAACCCCCATTGATTCTGATGATTTAATGTGAAGTAAAAAATTTGATTCTCTGTCCTGAAACAATTGTAATTATTATAATGAGTAAAATTATTGAAAGCAAGTGAATGAGTGTATGATCACCTGACAATCAAGCTTAGTTTTACTTAATGTATGATAAAATGTTAGAGGAAAGTATGCATTATTGTACACCAATATGAAAACAGAACAAATGCAAAATTACAATAGTCTTATTGCTAAGAGCAATCTCTTCCAGACAACCATCAGACAAACAAGAATCATCTAATGATATTAATCACAGTGTACCAATTGAAAATAGAAATAGAACATAATTAATTTTAATATGAAGAAATTAATTAAAATTTATGTTTAGTTTACATTAGTTTATAATCATATATAAGCAGAGTTNATCAAAGGCGGCAATCTGACTTTTGGACAATGATTGGTAAATCAGAAAAACGAATTATTGACTTTGTATTCCATTGGCAGTCACAAAACTCTTCGGAACGACATCTTAGATAAATAACAGGTTAACTATTAACCTTTATTTAATGCAGGTTTTGAACCGTATTCTTTGAAGGAGACGATTATATTCAAATAAATCTGTAATGACATATCAATAAAATTTTTTTGTCCAAATGTACAGATTGCCGCCTTTGATAATAGACGACTCATATAAGCAGAGTTAAAAATGTTCAAGAGCTTGAACTACCATTCATTCAATTTTGTATGAGTACTATTCAATACACTATCAATAATATTGTAATACTGACCTTATTTGGTTGTGTTCCAATAGATAAATTTGCACCCAATGGTGCTTCTAAAACTAAAACTAGATCATTCTGAAAACATTGCTGGATTTCAGTATCCATGACAAAACACATATCTTGGTTGTCTGGTTCGTCTAAAACATTTTTCGTACTTTGTTTAATCCACTGCAATCGTCTGGAACATATTAAATGCATGGTCATAATGGAACACTGAAGGCCAATAATTTTGTCTCAACATCTCTTTATACCAATATTTAAATCATAATATGAATTATTCTAGGGTCCTTTCTATCATAGAAAAAATTGTGGCATTTATGTGTATGTCATATACAGAGTGAGGTATGTTTTGGCCAATAGAGGCACTAATAAATAGTACAAACAGACAAAAACTAATGCTGAACACTATCTAGTAGGAAATAAACAATAGACAGATTGTTCCATATTGGAACGAAGTTCCTTACGGCAGGCTTGGAGGGGATAGGGATTTTGCTGCGCGACCGAACTGAAAAAAATGTGATAGTAAAACCGTAAGAAAAAATCCGTGGAAAAAAGTGCGTGGAATAAAACCGTTAAATGAGACGTGCGCAGGCGCGACAGTCGTATACACAAGCGAGTANGGAAAAAAGTGCGTGGAATAAAACCGTTAAATGAGACGTGCGCAGGCGCGACAGTCGTATACACAAGCGAGTAGTGTATAATACCTTTCTCTTTCTCCCTCTTTCTTTTCGTTCTCTCATCCCTTCTCTCTCTATTTTGTAATTATTTCTATTTCTATGTAATTTTATGTTGTCAAACCAAAATAAAGAGACATATTTTGTTATTTTAATTGATAATTTGAATTACGATTTTATTTTTATTTTACGTCATTTATTATTTCCTAAAATACTGAATTTCCTAAATACTTTCCTGTACTTAAATAAAAACTAATCAGCAAAATTTAAGAGAAAAATCAAGAAAACCAACATAAAATTGAGCACGATTTTTTTTTTGCAAATTGTGTCGGTTCTACATTAGCCGAAGGAACTTCGTTCCTACCTGGTGTCCCACGACACCACATAATTAGTTTTTTTATTAAAGATTGTATAGCACTATCTATGATGTTTTGACTGTGTTGCTGCATATGCTGTGGCATATATAACCAGGTAAGAGTGCAACTTAGGGCAAAGTACACTGAAGAGTTAAAGAGTAGCAAACATTAGAACAATAGTGATCACAGTTATAAATAAGAGTACAACATAGTACACTAGCAGATATGCGACAATGAATACTGGTGCACAATGCACCACACAGGTATTAGAGAGTATGGAACAATATTATGACTACTTTTGGGATTTTGATTTCTATGATTGTCTGAGAACTGTTAAGAAATGTGCCTCAGCTCTTAACAATATATTTTTTCAACCATAAAATACAACAATATGATAAAGAAAACTAGCATTAAATTTATCTTTAAAAAAAGTAAGATTACATTGCAAAACTTTCTAAATTGAAAATTAATTAGGATTAAAATAAACAAACCTATCTAATAATCTTTCATGTTCATCCAAATAGCTTAATTGTTTTCTTAATCCCATTACCTTTTTACCAATTTCATTTTTATCATAATCGGGACCTGCTCCTCTGAAATAAAAATAAATAAATATTTTACTAAAATGAAATTATGTTAAGTCAATTTAAAAGCACAAAATTATCACAATTACATTCGTACATTACAACATAATTGTTTGACGTACGGTCAACGGTTTGATGAGTGTAATAGTCATTTTGCTATACAATTTTACAATTTACATTAGATGTTCTAGGTTACTGAACCAGTAGCCACTAAATACCAGTTGAGTCTGAAGCTCATTGACCAGTCAATGCAATAAATAAACAGATTATCTCTGAATAAAAGAACTCTACAAATAGAGCGACATCCTTTTTTCTATTTGGCCACCAAAATCCTACATTTTTTTTATATTTTGGTGTTGTTTTTAATACAAATTATTAAATTAAATACAGGATAGGCACGTTTAACACTGAGAGGTCTTCATTTTTAAGATTATCATCCTATTAAAAGTTAATACTGAGTACCAAAGCTTCTTCTTTTATTGATAGATATGAGGAGTCTCTTATACAATGTTAAATAATTAAAACAACATATTAAAAAGCCAAACCCAGACCCATCAACTATTTAAGTTAATATTAACAACACAATAAAATATTACAAACCTCCATTGAATGCTATTTTTACTTCGTTTTTCAATCAAACCAATTCCCTCTAAAACATTAGTAATATCATATATTCTTCGTTTTTGTCTAACAGCCAATAAATTGGTAGCCTAAAAAACGTGGTTATTAGAAAAGTTTAAATTACTATTTTTTGGTGCCCAACACTTTGACAGATCAAGACGAATCAAGCTTTACTCACAATTTTTAAATCCAAAACACCGTCTTTTGCTTTCTGTAATAATGAAACAAATTTAGTTGTGAGCAAACCCAAAGATTTTTCATATCTTTTGTATTTTAAATCAGTCATTGCCAAAATTAAACAGAAAACATAGATTTTTTGTCAAATTATCAGTAAAAATTTTGCGTCGCGCGGCGGGATGTTAGGTTGGTAGCATTGCAAATTTGTTAGCATAGATTACTTACTATATTATATTGTGATTAACAATATTTCAAACATTCATCTTCAACATTATTTCGGTTCAGTGAATTTGGCCTCCCTTTTTTTGATTTTCAGATTTTTTTTATTTTTAATTATTTGTTCGTCGTTTGTTCGTTAATGTCGATAATCGATCAATCACCAATAGTCGTCGAACAAACGATAATTGATCAAAATTAATTAATCTAAGCGATAAAAATAAAGATATCTAGTAAGGGGGGCCACTTAACGGTGATCATTTGTTTAATTAATTATAAATAAATTAAAGACGGACCAACAATTTTTGTATTCGCACATTAACGAACAAATGACGACAAATAATTAAAAATAAAAAAAATCTGAAAATCAAAATATAGGGGGCCAAATTCACTGAGCCCTATTGCTAATAGCCTCGATGGGTTGTAGTAGCTTCACCGCGATGCTACTTCGACAAAGCGGTGCTATACGATAATCGTCTTATTAAGGTAGCCGTAATTACCTATTCAACCCAGGCGACGGGACCATAGATTATACACTCGGGACAACGCTAAGTTCGAAACATGTCTTGTCGACTCCAATTTCGGTGCTTTTAGGCCCCTGAAGCACCGTTCACCGTCCTCGTCGAACTAACTAACCCATAGACAAAACCAACGAAGTTTCTCGTCGGATCTCCTCAGTGGGTCACCATCCCAATCTGGTGACAGACTGCGAAGTACCTAGCGCTCTACCTAGAACTAGTGTAAGAAAATTCTCTTACGTTGAGCCCGTAATCTGTTCGACCCTTTTGAGACCCTCGAGAAGTTTTGTGCAAACCCCTTATTCTGGTTAATCTATTGCACTTCTTATAATTCTAGTAGGAAAGGCCTAGAAAAATCACCAATCCAAAACCATTAACAAGCAAGAAAAAATAGTCCACCAGCCCAGATTTGTACTAATAGCCGTAAGCACTTCTAAAATACAAAAAGTGATATTATACAAAATAAAATGAAACTTATTATTATTGTTACGCGCTGGGGTTTGGGATAAATAAAATTTCACCAAAGTACAACTTATAACTGTATTTAACACTTGGAACACTTAAAACACTCAGCAAACACTTTAAAACTCTCAATTCGTTGGTCCGCTTCGCTTCAGGTGATCCATTCGCTGTTTCGCTTCGAGTAGTTCCGATTACTGACTGACTGCGTGTCCTCTACAACGCTTTTATAGCCGATACATCATCCTTAGAATTATCGAGAATATTCCACACATCTCTAGTAGTAGTTTCCGCTATCTGACAGTAGGTGGTGTTGTTCTACTTGAGCGTTCGTTCTAGGTGCTACTAGGTCCTTCGATATTCATTCGACTATTCGGCGATAGATGGCGTTACTCTTACCGGCGTAACATTATTATATTCTATCTACCGGTTTAAACAGTACTTTTTACACATTTTCTCCACTACTTTTATCCTGAAATACAACTTAAAAGTTTAGCATCAATCAACTTATGAAATTGTGAGGTTTTCTTTCATTAGATCACATTTTTCTCTTTCAAGCTGTAAAACTTGATCATGTTCTTTTTCTATTAAGTCAATTATTTTGCCTTCTAGAGATTCTATTAACTCTAGTTCTCTTTTCCGCAATTCCAACTCTTCCTCTTTTAACTTTAGACTTCTCTCAAACATTCTATCTCTTAACTGCCTTTGGTCTTCTTGTGTTTTTAAATATACCAGCCACTGTTTCTCTAATTGTATCTTACTTTGATTTCGTTCTGAATCAATCCGGTTTGCTAATCTGATTTTCCTCATTTCTATAACTGCCTTACTTTCTATAGGTTTGTTGGATAGAGAACTATTCACATTTTGGTTATTTCGTTCATTATTTTTGTGCAATAGTTCTGTTATTAAATAGGAATCACAGTCTACATTATATTGTGAGTAAATACTATCCATTTCTTTGAAATACTTAAATTTTTCATTTTGCCTACATTCCGAATCTATGCATTGTTTGTATTTCTTTGTTAAGGCATTTATTTTCCATCTCACTTGATCAGCAGTCATCTGAAAATATTAAATATATAAATTCGATCATAAAGGTATCGGGAATGGATGATTTATTTACGGTTCCACTCTTTTTTTGTTGTTTTTAGATTGGCACAACTGTTTTCCATTTTGGCGCGTAGTCTGGGTCTATTTAGAATAAATACAATGCTGTTTTTCATTAAATCACATCTAGTGTGTAATGCGAATGTTTTATTAGACAAAAATATCAAACAAAAAGTGTCTTAAATATTCCATCGCCAATGGAATTTCGTGTGGAGTCACTGAAAATGTTACAGAAGGTTTACGGTGAATTGACTTTGTCAAAAACACGTGCTTATTGAGTGGTACAAAGTGTTCAAAAGCGGTCAAGATATGATGGAAGATTTGCCTCGTTCTGATAGGCTTTCTACGTATGCGATTGGAGTTAACGTTAACGCTAACAAAGGTAAAGGAACTAGTGGCTAACAATCCACTTATCAAGTTATTTCTTGTGACCTTTGTTAAGCATTAACTTTGGCCATTGGTAATTCGAAAGTTAATAATGGATCCAGTATGAAAGATATTTTTAATGCAATATATATTTAACTGTTATGAATACATACATCTATGTCAAAATGTTTTAAATTTTGTGAAATAGCCATCCATATTCTAGTCTTCTTTTTGGGTGTTTCTAACATCTGCAAATTTGATTCATACAGTTTCAAGAGTATTGAAGTTGCATTACTTGTCCATACTGCACCTGTAATAACAATTGTAATTGTAATATAGATACTTTTTTTATTGCTTAATGTGTGGACGACAAGCTCATTAGACAAGCTATTTGTTGTTATTATTATTATTATAATAAATTTTCAAGCATCAAATCAGTATTTTCTAGGAACCATCGAAAGAGATGGTAATCTGCAGAAGCGAAATCGAGAAGCGATGGCAGGTGCGGTAGGACTTCAGTGTTTTTAGGAACCATCGAAAGAAATGCGGTAGGCAGCGGCTTTGAAGCGGTAGGTAGCGGCTTGGCTCTGCCCCTGCCATTGCTGACGTCCATGAGCGACGGTAACCACTCACCATCACGTGGGCCGCATGCTTGTCTGCCTATACGGCAATAAACAAAATTTATGGTAATCTGCAGAAGCGACATCTGGAGAATATGGCAGGTGTGGTAGGACTTCCTATTTAAGTGTTTTTAGATATGTTTGTACTGGTTTTACGACGTGCGGACGAGTATTGTAGTGCAGCAANCATTGCTGACGTCCATGAGCGACGGTAACCACTCACCATCACGTGGGCCGCATGCTTGTCTGCCTATACGGCAATAAACAAAATTTATGGTAATCTGCAGAAGCGACATCTGGAGAATATGGCAGGTGTGGTAGGACTTCCTATTTAAGTGTTTTTAGATATGTTTGTACTGGTTTTACGACGTGCGGACGAGTATTGTAGTGCAGCAAAATGACTTTATCATGTTTTTCAGAGTATTCTGACCATTTTTCTTTTATCTCATTTGCATCAATTGCAGTTGGTAGTGAATAACTGATTATCACTACCAACTGCAATTAATGCGGTTTCCTTTGGTTTTAGCTGTTCATAATAAATCGCACTCCTCTGACCTCACCAGAATATACATCAGGGGTTTCCACTAATATTAGCCACATGCCCATGAATACTTCGCTTTGCCACTAATATTGATGGTTGGCCGTGCTCAATCTATGACTCTGAACTTCAGATTGTAGTAATGGATCCATTTTTTATCAACAGTGACAATTTGATGCAAGATACCTTTTATTTTCTCCCACTGAAGCAACAGTACACATGTCAAGGAGGCTATGTACAACAAAACCTATGACTTTCTGCAGTTCAGATTGTCATAATAGATCCATTTTTATCAACAGTGACAATTTGATGCAAGAAACCTTTTCTTTTCTCCCGTTGAAGCAACACTACCCATGTCAAGGAGGTTATGTACAACAAATTTCGTTCAATTATAGCTGTTTCATAATGAATACATTAAGTAGTCGGTGACAATGAAATATTGTCCTATCTGCGACACCTCATAAACCTACAAACTAATAGTGTTAAAATAATGTGCAAATGGAATAATTTGATTCGAGCCCTACACTGCAGCAGAGGGTAATAGGAAAGAAAGAATAAAAATAACCTAATGGTGATCATTGAAATTATATTATTGCCAATCTTATTTCAAATATTAACATTCTATCAAGATGAGGATGTATTGCAGGAAGTTACATGCGAGCAGCAAGCAATTTTTACAAGCAAGTTTCATGAAAATACTGTGTTTTCTTGTAGTATTAAGAATGGCGATTAATTCTAAAACTTAATCTTTGTTTAAATGTATGCTACAGCATGTATCTATGCTATGGCAAAGTATGCTTTATAACAAATAATACATACTATGTTTCTCAGATCTTTCATTCATAATATTGATTCTGTCGTTACTCTCCATTTCACTTGCTGAATCTATAGCAATGTCTTTAGCTGGAAATGTAAAAAATATTTATAAAATCTTGCACAGGCAATAAGAGTATGTACATCANCGTGCTTCGCAGAATCTACCACCGGATCGGAAACGCGACCCACTGAGAAGATCCGGCGAGAAACTCAGTGGGCTGTGTCTGAGAGTTAATTTACTCGTCGAGCCCTTCGTCGCAAGCGACGGGTTCGACGAGAACGGTGACCGGTGCTTGAAGTACCTAAAAGCACCGTTAGTGGATCAGGAGGATCCGAGATGACGTGATTTCTCAGATCTTTCATTCATAATATTGATTCTGTCGTTACTCTCCATTTCACTTGCTGAATCTATAGCAATGTCTTTAGCTGGAAATGTAAAAAATATTTATAAAATCTTGCACAGGCAATAAGAGTATGTACATCATTGTATTTTTCTAATTCATTTTTTAAATGTTTGAGTTTGCTAGTTATTGTCTTATTTTTGAAATCTTATATCTGGTAGACAGTTTTGTTTCCGCAGTTGGTATTTTATGTCCAGTGATTAGGGAAAATTTTCCCAGTAGTTATTTTGTAAATTTGAACATATTGAGATCATGAATGAATAGATTAGAATGATAATCCTATAAGTACTACATTTAAAGAAGTATAAATAAACGCTATATAACTAGCTAAATTCCTAGGTCTTGTAAACGATATTGCATTTGAGTTAATTGGATGAATTTAACTAACGGTACTATTACTAAGTTGACTTCTTGTGCTACTCAGTTCAAAAGCCTACTCCATATATTAAAAAACATGTTACATAAAATTCACTCACATTCATCTAAAATAACATACGTAGAAGCATTCCCGCTAAAGTCCATTTATAATTTTATATATTATGTGTATTGTATGATTTATAAATTAAAAACAATATTTTTTAGTACATAATCAACAGTAAAACCTCTTGTACACAAAACAATAAAAATGAAACACAAATTAGTTCACTTTTTTTAAGGGATTTTATGACCTGATAACTAAGACCTTTAAGTCATGTCTTATTTGATTTTAAATTCTTAGTTTTATGAAAAATGATAATATGGAGTGAAATTAAATGAAGATGATTCATTTGAGACATTAATCAACTGGCATGAAATTAAATAAAATGAGATGAGATGATATGGGATGAAATATAAGCTCAGTAAAATGGTGGTCATTTACGGAGATTTTTGCAGTGGAGTTTTGGAGGATCACGAGAAGTTACGTCCAGCGGCTTTGTTTCATTTTCCCATATTTGCGCACTTTAACAAATATTAAACAGTTAATTAACCACCGTTATTACACATTTAAACCTGAAGAAACACTAAATAGACAAAATAAAACAAATCACACAACTTCACTCCTCGTGTTCCCGCCAAAAAGTCCTTTCATAATTTAATTTTTCATGTTTAAAAAATATATAAAAGATTTGATTCTATGGTGGGATACTTTTGCCTTTCCAGTTGGAAAAATAAAACTACTTAGGTATGGTCATGGAGTTACTGGTACTTATTAACTCCATGGGTATGGTATAACATCATAGACCTATATATATAACATACATACCTACCTACCTATAGTCGTAAGGTATTTTTTTATTTTATTATACCGGTCACTCACATTCGCACGAATACGCAAACCCGCAAGTGTAGGACGACATTTGCAAATGATTATGCAAAGGTTTCGCTGCATTCGTGGTTTTCCAAGCTGTGTCGGTTTTTCAACGGACATCAAAGCACGCGAACCACGATTATTCGTGTAGTCTCCCACACATTCGCGTGACCAGTTGCGCCCACGATTGCGAAGGTAACGGACGTTTCGCCATTTTCATAACTCGTGAAGTCTACTGTGTAGCGTACCTTAATCATGGATTGGAACAACACTAAGGTGATGGAGTTCATTGAACTCCTGCAAAATTAATCGACCATATGGGACCCTCAAAAGAAATCCCATAAAAACAGAATGGCTAACGGCCAAGGGACGCCTGGGAAAGAATTAAAAACTCCCTTTCTCTTCAATGTTCTATTGATGAATTAAAAAAGAAGAGAAATTCGTGAGATATTCGTAAACAAGTGTGGGAGGAAGCGCAATCGGGTTCGCAAATTGAGTACCGAACCCATTTGCACATGCGCGAAAACATTCGTACAATGTACGAATATTTGCGCGCATGTGAGTGACCGGCATTAAGCGAAGTCAACTGACGTTTACTGTGCTGTCAGTTTTTGATGAAATAAAAATATTTTTGTGACAAAGTGAATGATTAAAAAAACTCCTGAATTAATGAAATTGCCTCGATTGTCTAGTGAATAGTTAGTGTGCCGAACTGCCGATATCGGGTTCGAACTTTAGTCGTGCTTTGTACATACCAACGAGTTTTCAACGATTATGTTCCTATAGTTTCTACCTATACTGAATACCGAGTGTTTTAAACATTAAGGAAAATATTGCGAGGAAACTTGTAAGACTGTCCTATTTTCAATACATCATATAGTTGAAACTATAGATGTATAAAATATAACAATTATAGGAAATTATAGGTAATGAAAATAAAAAAACTGATTGTAGTTACATACTACTAGTAACATACATTAGAGCACTTTAATATAATTTTTATTGTAAAATAGAAATAATATTATTTTATAGTTTGAAATGATTAACTCTTCACACTCATTGTTCGTTCATTTGATTGAACGAGAACTGAACGCATCACTATTACTTTAAATAAGCAACATTCAGTGCTCTCGAACCTACCGATTTTTCGGTATTTCTACCGATATGGGCTATGCTCTACCGAAATACCGAAATATAACGATTTTTCTACGATTTAAGAGTATACATGGAAATTCTCCCGATTTTTCTACCGATTTGAAACTTTTAGACATTATTGATCCAAAAAATGTTAAAATTGGCAAAACTACTTCGATACTTCTTAAGAGTGGGCTCTTTCCCAATATTGTTCAGAGCAATGATTTCCAGGAAATTTATTTATTTTATTTTATTTTATTTATTTATTAAGTTGCACCAACAAAGTGATCATCAATACAAAACATTAACAAAGATTAATATAGATAGTTTTAGTTAATTACATTGATATAGAGCGACGCATTTTAAGAAATTGTAAATATAGCAAAACATTTCCTAATGATGTAGAACTATTTTGGCGTAACGTTGGCAAAACGTAGCGATGAAACTCAAATGTTTCCTTTGCTGTCTAATTTCATCCTTAATATTTTATCACTTCCCTATTCATCCGCTAACGTTGAACGCATATTTTCAAATATTAATTTTTTGAAAACAAAACAGCGAAATAGGGTAGCTACTGAATCAATCACTGGTCTATTACATGCAAAACGACTTTTTAATACAGCTTATTGTTATGATTTTGAAATTAATTCAACGATGACTGCAGCTATGGCCAAACAATATTGGTATAAAAAATAATTATTCCTAAATATGATTATTATAAATTAGTCTGTAAGTTGTTTTTTTTTTCAATAAATAAACGAATTTGATTGAATATTGTATATTTTTTGACAAATACCGATTTTTTCTGGCAAGTCTACCGATCTCGCTCTATGACGTTCGAGATCACTGGCAGCTAGACGTGCGCTAATCATGTTCGGAACTGGATTGAACATGACATCGTTCTTTTGAGTGTCGGAACTAGTTCCAGTAAACATGTTCGCGGAACTGTTTAGTTTCACGAACATGTTAAGTCTAGTAGCTGTTTGTAGTTTGTAGCTGTTTAGTTCCGCGGACATATTAAGTCTAGTAGCTGTTTGAAGCTGTTTAGTTCCGCGGACATGTNAAGTATAAATTCTACAAATAAATAATACTCAACAATATTTAAAATAAAATGAGCCAAGAACGTTTATCGATAAAACCTGATAACATTGAAATCTTTTGTACAGCACTAAAGCCGCCATGTTTTGTGGCCAGATGACGTCACAGTGGCACGAAATTTTGGTTGACGTTTCATTTCCATAGGTTTCCTACTTCATTGATTGTGACAAAGTGAATGATTAAAAAAACTCCTGAATTAATGAAATTGCCTCGATTGTCTAGTGAATAGTTAGTGTGCCGAACTGCCGATATCGGGTTCGAATTTTAGTCGTGCTTTGTACATACCAACGAGTTTTCAACGATTATGTTCCTATAGTTTCTACCTATACTGAATACCAAGTGTTTTAAACATTAAGGAAAATATTGCGAGGAAACTTGTAAGACTGTCCTATTTTCAATACATCATATAGTTGAAACTATAGATGTATAAAATATAACAATTATAGGAAATTATTATAGGTAATGAAAATAAAAAAACTGATTGTAGTTACATATTAATAGTAACATACATTAGAGCACTTTAATATAATTTTTATTGTAAAATAGAAATAATATTCTTTTATAGTTTGAAATGATTAACTCTTCACACTCATTGTTCGTTCATTTGATTCAACGAGAACTGAACGCATCACTATTACTTTAAATAAGCAACATTCAGTGCTCTCGAACCTACCGATTTTTCGGTATTTCTACCGATATGGGCTATGCTCTACCGAAATACCGAAATATAACGATTTTTCTACGATTTCAGAGTTTTCTACCGATTTGAAACTTTTAGACATTATTGATCCAAAAATGTTAAAATTGGCAAAACTACTTCGATACTTCTTAAGAGTGGGCTCTTTCCCAATATTGTTCAGAGCAATGATTTCCAGGAAATTGATATAGAGCGACGCATTTTAAGACATTGTAAATATATCAAAACATTTCCTAATGATGTAGAACTATTTTGGCGTAACGTTGGCAAAACGTGGCGATGAAACTCAAATGTTTCCTTTGCTGTCTAATTTCATCCTTAATATTTTATCACTTCCCTATTCATCCGCTAACGTTGAACGCATATTTTCAAATATTAATTTTTTGAAAACAAAACAGCGAAATAGGGTATCTACTGAATCAATCACTGGTCTATTACGACTTTTTAATACAACTTATTGTTATGATTTTGAAATTAATTCAACGATGACTGCAGCTATGGCCAAACAATATTGGTATAAAAAATAATTATTCCTAAATATGATTATTATAAATTAGTCTGTAAGTTGTTTTTTTTTTCAATAAATAAACGAATTTGATTGAATATTGTATATTTTTTGACAAATACCGATTTTGGGTACAAAATAGTACAAATATACCGATTTTAGCTGGCAAGTCTACCGATCTCGCTCTATGACGTTCGAGATCACTGGCAGCATTATCATAGATTATACACTTAATATATGAGCATTATTTTACAGTGACATTAGCTACTGTCAGTCGGTTTCGTCTACTAAAAATACGAAATACGACTATACCTACTTATGTTTACAATTGTATCAAAATAACAATCTTAATATTTTCAAACAAGTATGGTGGTACAGCGGTTAATACATATTTACGCTAATAGAGACAATGTATAAATAAATTAGAACAAATAATATTACTATAGATTACTTATACCGAGAATTTTAAGGAGAAATTTATTGTTTACAAGTTGAGAATGTTGAAAAATGATTAAAAACAACCAAATAATTTGGCTTGCCGAAACCAACAACTTTTTAATTAGCACCGATGACAGTGATACAGACAGTTTCAGTCATGTATCTAATGTCGAGGGAAACTCTTCAGAAATTGAGTGGCCTGATGATGAGGACGATGAAATTTTTTTTCCTCCTATGCAATATTTTATAAGACTAAGAAGAAGACGAGTCGATGATTATATGCATATTATAGATTCATGGACTGACGCCGAATTTAAAAATCGAATGAGATTATCAAGAAAAACAGCATTTCGTCTTATTGGTAAAATGGGTTTATAGCTTTTTATCTGAACATATCACTCCTGGGTGTCATAAAGGGCGACCAAGCGATTCACCCGAGGATGGGTAGCATCTGAAAATTATTTATATTGGCGTATTGCAATCACTAACTGATATTTATTGGTGGTAGGTGAGAGTATTGTAATGCCACCTGGGCATAGATGACCATACTGTGGTGAAACAATAATGTGTTTCAGTTTGAAGGGAGGACAGCAGTTATTCAATTTCATACAATTATAACATGGACCTATATCTCATAGTGGGGATGGCATATGATATATTGGATATATCTCATAGTATGTTGGTGGATTGAAGTAAACATTTAACACCAGGAAGGCCATATACTTGTTCACCCATATACAAAATAAGATCAATAAAAAAACTTTCATTTTTTTATCATGTCTTACATTAAACATTTTTTGGATTCCAGGTGAATTGGACAAATCAGGATTCATTGCATCACATAAATTTGGACTTAAACCTCTCGAGTCAAAGTTATGTTTTTACATATTTCTAACATTTATCTCAAATACTGAACCCTTAACACCAATTGCTACCCGTTTTGATATTTCAATATCATCAACATTTCGTGTCATAAGAAAAGTGGCATCATGGATTTTGACAAAACTGAATGATGCCATAAGATGGCCACAAGATTTTAATGAAATACAATATATTTGTGACAATTTCCATTTAAAGACTGGAATCTCAAACATTTTAGGTGTTATAGATCGTACCCACATAAGAATAGACAAACCTAAAAATGCTCGAGAGTACTGTAATCCCAAAGGTCACTTTTCAATAATTTTGCAAGCAACGATTGATTCACAATTGAGATTTACAAACATCTTTTGTGGAGAACCAGGCTCATCCAACTGCACTCGGGCCTTGAAGAAATCACCTTTATATCATACAGCAACTCATGACAGAAATTCTTTGTTTCCACACAATACATTTTTAATAGGCCACTCAGGGTATCCATCTTTACCATGGCTGGTACCACCATTTAGAGAAAATAAAAGGCTGACACCTCAACAAAGAGAATTTAATGCATTACATGCATCTGCTAGAAAGTTGGGCGATAGAGCTTTTATTCTGTTAAAGGCTAGGTTCCGCAGAATTAAATTGTTTACTGTTTATCGAAATATAGCTTTCATCACAGACATGATTGTAGCTGCATGTATACTCCATAATTATTGCTTGAATGAAAATGATCATTTAGAGGTTAATCACGACTAAATAATATACAGTGCTACCTCAACATACGAGTTTAATTAATTCTGTAACCTTTCTCGCTTGTCAAATTGCTCATATATCAAAGCAATTTTCCCAATTGAAATTAATTTTAATGCCGTTAATCTGCTCCAGCTCCCAAAAAATGACCTGTCATTTTTTATGTGTTTTTAAATAAGAAAAAAAAATATAATAGTACTCCACATGTGGGGGTATTATGTGATTCCTCGTATCTCAAGTCTTACTCTCATCTCGAAGCAAAATATTGCTCGCGCAGTGGCTTGTACCTCATAACACTCGTATATTAGGGCAATCGTATATTGATGTACCACTGTACATATTTTATGTTACTTAATTATAGATGGTTAACTTGTAACAACTGAGGGATTTAGTTACTATTTTATGCAAAAACTACAGATTTTAGGGAGCTTCATAATTTAATCGCAGTACAGTATGAGCAATGTACAACAGGTTGTGTGTAAGTAGTTTCAAGGAATTAGACATGGCCACAGTAAGCTATGACCGGGATCTACTATTTGTGTGATCCATAATTTTATCTTATTGAGCGATCATTTAAATAAATGTACTTTTTAACAATTAACAAATATTATAATTCTTGGTTATTAATAAAACACATTCGACTTGACCTGTCCTGATGAAACTGGAAGGCTCTTTAGGCCACCATTAATCCTGCTATTCTAGAAAAGGTTACACTTTGTTTCTGAAGGGACCCTTGACTTGAAATCAGATTATCAAGCCAGTAATTTCTTTTGTAGCATTTTTTTTCAATTAATTGTACTGCGTCCAATATTGTAGGGTTTAAAGCTAGGCGGTGACAGAGGTCCAACTGATCTTGTGTGAAACAATAAGCATCAGAGATGCCTTTACTTCAATTAGTAGATTCATGAAGTATGAATTTCTTAAAATGGCGTGTATAAATTGTATTAGATTAACAGCTTTGTTTTTTATAAAGATAGTTTGTTTTACTAATTTTGCTTCAAAAATGGATTTTTCTTGGCTTTTCCTAGTAATAGCCAATTTACCCAAGAACAACAAATTTACTGTCTCAAAATTTCATGTTCTGCCACTAGTTTCCTTAACAAAGCACATTTCTCTCGTTCTATTTTAAGAAGTTCTTCTTGTTTGTTTTCTCTTAGTTGTAACTTTCTTAAAGCTATGGATTGTTTCAGTTCTAATTCTTTTCTTCTCAATTGTAGTTCCTCTTCTTTTAATCTCAAACTCCTCTCATACCTTTCATCTCTTATTTGTTTTTGTTCCTCTTGTCTTTTAATGTATTCTATCCACTGTTTATCTAATTCTACTTTAGCTCTACGTTCTGCCCTTAATTTTCTAAAAGGAGTTGTTGTTTTCATTAAGTTCTTTCGGTCTTTACTTTTCTCTGCGTCTTCTTGTATAACACCAGAAGCCAATCTATAATTTCCACCATTATCGTTGTAGCGGCCTAATATTTGGTGCATCTCATTAAAATACTTAAAAGATACTGCTCCTTGTCCATTGTCAATGCAGTCTTTATATTTTTTTGTGAGTGCATTTATTTTCCATCTGACCTGATCTGCAGTTACCTGTAATTATTATCAGCTTCAGAAGTGTTTCTTGTTTTTAATTTTAATTTTCATGAATATATTATATCAATCAATATTTTACAGTATTTTAAAACCTTTGAATCATTTACTCAGCTCTTAAACAGTACATACTCAAACCAAGGTTCTATTACCTCTACGTTTAATGATTTTAATTCTTCTGCAATAGATATCCACATCTTTGATTTCTTCTTAGGATTATCCAACATATGTATTTTAGTTTCGTATAAATTTAGTAACATTATTGTAGAATTTTTTGTCCAAATGATATCTGTGGAATTTTTATATGATAACTACACTTAAATACTGATGTAACGAAAATTTCATAATTAGTATAAAATCTTACTTTGCTTATTCATTTCATTTACATCCGATTCTTCTTGTTGGCTAATGTTTTGATTGTGATTGTATGTTGGAACTGGCATATTTGGTTTGTACAAATTAGCTAAAATTTAATTGAATATAGTAGAATAGTTTAAAATATTTAAAACATTTTTTAGTATGATTGAAGAATAAAGTACCTATAAATTGTTTACATTACTTACGTTGACTATCGAGAATAGCTAAGACCGCTACATTGTTATGAATGTTTTCATCCATTTTGATTTAGATATAAATTTAATCAGACCTTTTAGTTAATTTATGCTTGTGGAATAAACTTCATATGTTAATTATTCGCCGTCCTTTTATACGGTATCTTATTTTGACCATTTTACCTTTTTGTAAAATACAAAATACAATTATCAAATTTGAAATTTTTTTAAAGATATTTTATATTTATTTATTATGACTTGGTAACTAAGACCTTTAGGTCAAGCCTTATTTTAATTTTAATGAAAACTTTTTTTATAAGAAAATTATATTATGAAATGAAATGAAGTTGATTAATATCAGATGAGATGATATGGGATGAAATTTAATCTCAGTAAAATTGTGGACATTTACTGAAACTTTTGCAGTTGACTTTTTGGAGGATCCTGAGAAGTTACGTTCAGTGGCTTTCTTTCATTTTCCCACATTTGTGCACTTTTACAGATACTAAATAGTTAATAAACCACCGTTATTACACATTTAAACCTAAAGAAAGTTTAATAAATCTATGTGAATAAGGGATGAGATCTGAAATCGTTTCATCGATCGTTATTTTTACCAATGAATCGATCTCAATAAAAAGCTGATAGAGTGAAACGAAGCATTGCACTCCTGAATAAGTACATATTATTTTATTTAAATAATCGTAAAACTGTTATTGGCCACATGATTTCGGTTATCTAAATCTTGCATCAACGCAATATGAAATAAACGAAAAAACAGGAATTCGAAGTTTATTATAAACAAGGTTTTCAAGACATAACTAAGATAAAATAATGATAGATGGTAAAATAACAATATGTTAGAACTATAATTTAAATAATAGATTATGGAAAAGAAGGTTATAACAAGTATTGTCTAGTTAATTACATTTTTTTAATAAATCACCTCGGTTTTATTGTGTATGGATTTTCAGATTGATCTTTTTTGCGTGTCTAAGCTATGTTCGTTCTAAGTTTTGTTTCCTTTTTCCTCACTAGCTCTTCGCCTGCAGCATGGCCTAAGTGTAATATCGCGTGAGCACAATTGGAATGAATGATAGCCTATATTCTTGACAGGATTCAAACTATTTCCATATCAGATTACGTCTTATTTGGCGATTTGTACGTTAAGATGTAAAGTAAATTTCGTATATGACGATACTATTAGAGATATGCACCAAAGTAATGCACCAAATTAATGCACCAAAATTATGCACCAAATTAATCGCTGTCTATCACTACTTGAAAGTCCATTCCATAATTCTGCAGGTATATGTAAACAGACCAAACGACAGAAAAATATGTTAATATAAGTTCTATCACGTTAAAGTAACGAAGAAACTAACAAAGAAACTATTTGTTGACTATAAAATAGACAATATTGATATTAATAATAAATAAATACTCTTTGATTAAGTGATATTACTCCAGGCTAATACAGTGATGTCCAAAACACCATCAAGTGGGGCTCACGTCTTATGATGTGATAATGCATCTTAAAGTATTTAAAATCGCGTTGTGGTAACGAGAACATTACCTTCTTATAATGTATTTAGACTATTTGTGGTTTCTGTCTGGTCTGAATTGTTTAAAATCTAAGTTTAAGTCTATTTTATGGAAACTAATCTTTATTTTCAATATACAATTTAAATGTTTTTCAATCCATCCAATACTATTCTCTTATCACTTCTGAGCTTAAGATCGTTATTAATGATGAACTTTAGTGCATTAACTTGACTGATAAGTTATGTGATGCTAATTACTCATAAAGTAACCAAAGGGTATTAGCCACCATCTGATATTTGAAAGTGCACAAATCTCGGGAGTACGCACGTAAACGCTGTGTTCTAAGTGTAATGAAAGGATTTAGGAAAAAAATATAAAAGTCCGTCTACTACGATTGAATATAGAGGTCATCAGAAATGATTGCAAAATTGGCTAAAAAATCGAGCTACCAAAGGACAAAAAACCATTTTGAAAAAAACAATTGACATTAGTAGTGACGTGACGTAGAGCAAACGAGTATTGGATGTGCTTCGAGTTTCACTGGATTTTGGGTGCTGTTTGCAATAAATTCACCACTATAGTAAAAAAATTAACATAGATGTTGTAAACTTAGATTAGGAAGTTTAAAATATTTTGTAATCAATATGGCTGGCTGTGGAGACTTCATCAAGAGTCAGTTTCCATTGATCGATGACGAATTAATGAAATATGTGGAAGGTATGTTTTTGTCCTATAGGTTATAAAATGAAATGAAATAATAAATAAATACATTTAATAAATTTGTAAAAATCATAATAATTTGTACTCATCATGAAACGAAGCCCGATAAAAATTTATATTTTAATAAAGAAACCCGAAATATATTTTTATCAACGAAACAGTATAAGTTTTTTTTATGTCCCAACCACGACGAAACTGCTGCCATCCTTGAGAAGACAGGTCGAAGTTTTATTTGTATATTTATTAAACTTGATACACAATCTTAATTCTGTTAGCAAATCATATTTGAAAGATTCCAGGTTCTATGTTTCAAGCAATTTGTGAATGTTTAATAGTAATATGATATCAAGTCATTTTAATAGTAATTGGATGCTATAGCAGTTATAATAACAATTAATTAAAATATAATACAAAAAGTTTAAAGCTTACACAGGAGTGACATTCTTCATTGACTCTAAATTCATCACAGTTAATCCTTATAGATATCTTGTGCAACAGCGCTGATGAGTTTGAAGACACAGAGGAAATTTTTGAGGCCGTTGGCGAAGTTTTACAAGGCATATCTGAGAAATCTGAGAAAGACATTAAGTAGGTAACAAATTAATGATCAAGTAAACTTATTGAGAATAAAAATAAAATAGTTCTTTGTAATTGTTCATTATTGGTCATCAAGTTAAACAGTACATTTTTTATCAAAATATATTTTTAATTGCTTTAAACCATGAATTATAAATTAACAAAATGCAACACAAATTTGAAATTTTAAACAGTACTTTGTATATTGATTATAATTATATAAGTATATGTAACTCAACAAATATTTTCAACACATATATTATTCAACACAGAAAGCTAAAGTGGAGCTTGTAATTAAAAAAATATTTATAGAGACATATGTGGAAAACTTCTACACATGTTACAACCTGACAAAGGATCGAAGAACAATGGGCCTACGAAAATTTTGGATGCACCAATACATTTAGCTTCAATGACCCAGACTAATTATAATGACACAGATGATCTCAAAAGTATATGGATGCAAACAAGGGATGATAGTTTGGTAAGTGGTACAACATTATTCATATTATATAGGTAAAATATGTGAGGAAGTAATAATAACATAACTTACACACAAATAACAGGAAAGTAGCATATCAGTAGGTTGTATTACGTGCTAGCTTAAGTAAGTTCTACCATTCTGCTTAGAAATCTTGCGTTTTAGTTCCAAGTCTCTAGGTTATATTGCATCTATGAACAATACTATGAACAATAATAATGACCTAACTCTACATAATGATTAGCCACAAGTTATATAATACACTGTGTTTGGTATTTAGGTTAATGTAAAAATTTGTTTCAACTGTTGGACTTTATGTAGTGGTTATCATGAATATGTCACAAAAATGTAAAATTTAATTTTCATTTGTTTCAATATTTTGAATATGTTAATTATTAAGAGGTTATAGGTACTAAAGAACATTAAGAAATAACAATAGATTTTCTTGTGTCTAGTGTTAGATAAAAAAGTAATTTAAAATTATAAAATTACTGTAAAATTATACATACATTATTTCCTTTACTGTTTAGAGAATATTTCTTTATCTCACCCTATAATATAACAACCAATAGATAATCTAGAAACTATTGCATTTGTTCAATATTTCGGATTACTAGGAACAGAATTAATGCCTCAATCTATTGGGTAAGGCATACTGAAATTAGTTATATTTTGGTTTACAGAAAGTAGATGCTAGAAAATTAGAGAAAGCCGAAGCTAAATTACAACAGAAGCAACAGAAACAAAAAGAGGTAAAAGCACCAACAGCCACACCACTATTACAAACTGCGACTGCATCACAAGTAACATCGAAAAAAGACAGCAAACTTGAAGCTAAAGGGACAAATAGAACACAAGACATAAGGATAGAAAACTTTGACATAGCATACGGAGATCGGTAAGTCTAATTAGGTTATTCATCTGCTATTAAACTTTTATACAAATATGCATGTCATACCATTGATAATGGCATCCTGATCATGCAGGAGCCAGTCACCGTCGACGCCCTCGATAAGTCATTGCGGATCCATCAGATCCAATAACTGTTTCATTAGACACCTTTAGCTCTAACACTAGGAGCAGGCTCAGGGACCCCGTAACCTTACTGGTCGAACTCTAAAAAGAGTTCGACGTGTAACCTAACCTAAACATCAGCCCGCAGCAGCAGATCCGGTAGTAGATTCATTCGCGAAGCAGTTACTCTTGAGTGGTTATGTCTCATTTGGAGGCGCTTGGGTAGCAGTTAGCAAATCGCCCCCTGCCTGGCTGAGCCCTTGCTCGCCCGCCTGTCCTGGTGAAACTGGAAAGGCCTCTGGGCCACCAGTAATTCCTCAAACATAAAAAAAACCATTGATAAATTCGAACAGTGAACATTTTATTAAAAATCTAATAACCATGTGCCATAACCATAAGGCCTCCTTGGTCTAGTTGCTTATGCTTGACTACTATAGTAGCTATCTTTATCAAATTTATTATTAGAGCTTAAGACTTAGGGAAATATAAGAGATAATTTTAGTAACGCCATTGAATGTGAAAACTTTCCTGTATTATATATATTTTTCATGTTACTTTTGTCTTAACCTAAAAGTAAACCTATTTTTGTAATCTTTGCTGCTCTTTGAGATACAGGTTTACAATTAGAACAAGTACAAGTGCAGTTTATATCTGTTTGGGTTACTTTTAAATCACAAATAAATAAATAAACGCTAATTGTCTCCAGAAAACCAAACTAAATGTATCATATTCAATTGAATATTCACACTACAGCACTTTATACCACTGAAAGTGCTAACTGCACACTGTTGTTAAAAAACGAAAGTTGTAACTCATGGCCAGCAGACACTGACGAATTTAAGTATTGTAAAATAATGTATTAATTGTATTTGTTGTGTTTTTACTTAAAATTCTCTCAAAAGATAACACATACCGTTCTGTAGAAATAACTATACATTTGCAAAAATGTGAATACAATTTGTTTCAGGGTATTATTACAAGGTGCCGACTTGATACTTGCATTTGGCCGAAGATATGGCTTAGTCGGAAGAAATGGTCTCGGTAAAACAACTCTCCTACGAATGATATCCAGTAAACAGTTGAAGATTCCATCGCATATAACTATCCTGCATGTGGAGCAGGAGGTTGTAGGAGATGACACCATAGCCCTGCAGAGCGTTCTTGAATGTGATACCATTAGAGAAGGCCTATTAAAAAAAGAAAGGGATATAACTGCTGCTATAAATAATGGGTTCGTTATTTAAATAAAATTATGATTTTTTTCTTTAAATTCTTAACAATTTATGAGAATTAATATTTTTTGCCTTAAGGCTGTGTTTATTTATTTAATACATAATCTTATATGTATATAAAATTCTCATGTCATAATGTTAGTTACCATACTCCTCTGAAGCGGTTTGACGAATTTTTATGAAATTTTATATGCATGTTTAGTGGGTCTGAGAATCGCCTACTATCTATTTTTCATACCCCTAAGTGATAAGGGTTGTCCAACCCCAAACATTTATTGTTTGGACATTTTTTTTTGTTATAGTGAGGAATTATGTGGTTGAATGAGATTTTGTTATTTTTATATTCCCTCATCGTTCACAGCGCTACATGCCTCTTTCACTCATTTACCACATCCTTACACACTTACAATAAGTTAGTATTTTATTTTTTATTAGCTAGTAATGAAATAATTTAATTCTTATAAAACGAACAACAATTAAACGAAAACATTTTCAAACAATTAATGGTAGCATAACTAGCATTTAGTAGTAATAACAATAACAAACTAAAATATTTTGCTTAACCCTTGTACACTTAACCAGTGTTGCTCGAGCTTATTATCAAATATTTTGCAGAATTTGCTAAGGAGTTCTAAAAAAGTACTTAATAAAAATAAAAAATTAAAAATAAGTAAAAATTAATGCTAAATTTACAGAAAAATAATTTGAAATGATTATTTATAAATGTTATTACAAACGATTCTTTTAATTTCTTTCGACGTTAAAATGGTCGACAATTACAAATGAAATTTTACAACGAACGATTATCAATTCTTGAAAATTGTCAATTCCATTTCTCATTCAAGCATTCTTGAGAAGAGGTCAATTATTGCGATCTATAGGATGTCGAATTGTTCTGTGCCAATTATCTCGCGCTGCTGACTCGAATTATGACGTATATTTATGTACATATTAATTCATAAGGCGTAAAACAGAATTTCACTATACAGGGTGTTGTAATTAATACCAATCTCGATCGAAATAATTACTGCAGAAACTAATCAGGATATTGGATCGAAACAGTACAAGCCTTCGGTTGCATTAGGACAGCCATTAGACTATACATTTTCATTTTTATAACACGAAGATATATGATTCTTTCGTCGTGGAAGTCTCTTGGAGACAGTCCCTTTGGACCACGGGCGCTTCGTAGTACCTACTATGAATACCGTCGACTTTGCACATTACGTTATATAAAATTAACATTATTATTTCTCACCCCCACAAAGATTCTCATCATTAACGCCCCCCCCCCCCCCGCAACTGGTGTAGGGATTCCAACATTCATATAAGTATTAGCCTATCCATTAAATACATGTATTTTCTACATGGATACCAAGTTTCAAGTCAATCAGATTCATGGTTCAGTAGATATAACGGAACATCCGTAAAAAACAATGTAGATTTATATATTAGTATAGATTTAAGTTTAAAAGATCGGAGAAGGATGGTTAAGACCTAAGAATTAAGATTTGGGATATATGTTTTTCTGTGCTGTGACGTCAAGATTCACCATTACTTGTAAGTAATGTTATGTTCGTTTCCGTAGACGGTTATAATGCATTCTGTATTTGAATTAAGGAATAAGTAAACCCTGTACCGGGTATATCTTTAGGTTTATATAAATTTATTAGGTTTTTTTGTTTTCTTACACAATCTGTTTCTTCACTTGTATTATTAGCCTTTTTTTATTCCATTCAACGAAACGCTAGTATCGTATTATTTGATTAAGTCAATTGTTTATTCCCTGAAGTATCGTGTTTACTGAGTTAATGAAACCAGTTATGAATTATTTAGATACAGAAGTTTACCTTGATATGTTCCAAGTGTAAAGAATGGAAATGTAATTGTGGAATAATGTTAGATAAGGCTTATTTGTATATTGTTAGAAATAATTACTTCAGAGTCACGTATTCATAATGGTTAACTTTTCATTAATATAATATTCATGTAATAGTAATCAAAAATTAGGCCTCCTGTGTAATGGCGTATTTCAGAAATGATTGTAGTAAAAAAAAAAATTAACGGATTTTATGACCTGGTAACTAAGACCTTGAGTGAAATGAAATTAATAGATGATTAATTAGAGACATTAATCAAATGGGATGAAATTAAATGAAATGAGATGAAATGGGATGAAGTATAATCTCAATAAAATTGTGGTCATTTAGTGAGATTTTTTCAGTGTAATTTTGGAGGATCCCGAGAAGTTACATCCAGCGGCTTTGTTTGATTTTCCCACAATCGTGCACTTTCACAGATATTAAACAAGTTAATAAGCCACCGTTCTTATACATTTAAACCCGGAGAAACACTGAATAGACAAAATAAAACAAATCACACAACTTCAGTCCTCGCGTTCCCGCCAAAAAATCCACTATAATAAAAATAAATATGTTTCAGTACAGACCATACAATCTTTTCAATACTTTTTTTTTAATATTTTGCGGTTCAGAATTGTAAAATTTAAACAGGTCACTCACTGTTTCACAATCGATTTTACCATTTAATTTAACTTCAGCTCCACAGATCCGCAGCTCTCGTCCGAGTTGAGTTCAATATACGTGCAACTACAGAACATAGAGGCGGACAAGGCGCCCGCCCGGGCTTCGGTCATATTGAACGGCTTGGGTTTTACAACGGAGATGCAGGCAAGACCCACCAAGACCTTCTCCGGTGGATGGAGAATGAGACTGGCTTTGGCAAGAGCACTGTTTTCTACGTGAGTATTGTTTGTTCATTGTGTTTCATAGAGAGGTCCTACCGGTACCTGAAGTGCATAAGTAGATATTATTTGAAGGCTCGGCATCGCGTTTCTAATGGCCATTTTTCTAATGCTAATTCTTCATAAGTAGTCAGATTAGTAGTCAATAATTACAGTTCAGAAGATATTGTGATAGCAGTCTTAGTTTGTACTTAAACCCTTTGACTGCCTTGTAGGTCACCGGTGCCCTAGGTGGCGCGTGGCGTGGCTGAAGTTATTATATCGAGTTCTGTTACTAAGCGCCTGGATTGCTTAACTTTGCTTTCTTTTGTTTTCAATGTATATTTTTAGTTTTTTAGGTCTCATAGCAATAGATTCGTTCTCATTATCTTCGTCTTTTCCACAGTCTACTAGATATTCCGGCGCTTTAGTAACAGAAATCGACATAATTACTTCGGTGCGCCACGTAGGGCACCGGTGACCCTCGTGGCAGTGAAAGGGTTAAGGACTGGTGCTGGACCGGTGGGTGCCCATTATTTATTTGTTTTTATTGATTTATTGTTTGCAGCCCTGACCTGTTGTTACTCGACGAACCGACCAACATGTTGGACATAAAGGCGATCATCTGGTTAGAAAACTATCTACAGAAGTGGCCCACTACCCTGTTAGTCGTCTCTCACGACAGAAATTTCTTGGACACCGTACCTACAGATATAATGCATTTACACACCCAAAGGATAGATACGTATAGGTAAATACTGTTTTGATTGTTTTTCACTTTTTTTCAAACATTAACGTGACGTACACGACAGAGACAGCGCTCAATGGGTAGTGTGCGACAGAGAAAACGCTCTACAAAGCCGAAATTAGCCGAATGTCTCTTATCAAAAGTTGATGTGCTTTTTTTTTCCTACCTAAGCTGATAGCCTTGAGAGGCTATTTCAGTGTAACCTTAACTAGTAGGTGAGCTCACGGGGCTCAAACCGGAGTGATGCCTAACACTGACCCTAGCAAGAGCAGTGCTTCGCAGAATCTACCACCGGATCGGAAACGCGACCCACTGAGAAGATCCGGCGAGAAACTCAGTGGACTGTGTCTGTGGGTTAATTCGCTCGTCGAGCCCTTCGTCGCAAGCGACGGGTTCGACGAAGACGGTGACCGGTGCTTGTGATATCAAAAAACACCGTTAATGGATCGGGAGGATCCATAATGACGTGTTTTGGGCGACGTCGACCGTTTACTATTCGGTCTACAGGATCGGGTATGTAGTTTCCAGCGGCCACGACAAAAGAGTTCTCATGTCGTGCCGCCTTCTCAAAGTGGCTGGGTAGTGTGCGACAGAGACAACGCTCTACAAAGCCGAAATTAGCCGAATGTCTTTGAACTAAAGTCGATGTGAAAAATTTAGCGTCGGGTACTATAAAAAAAATAACCCATAAAAATTGATTTCTTTTATAGGGGTAACTACGAACAGTTCCACAAGACAAAGACTGAGAAGCTGAAGAATCAGCAGCGCGAGTACGAGGCGCAGCAGCAACACCGGGCGCACACGCAGGAGTTCATCGACCGGTTCCGTTACAACGCGAACCGCGCCTCCTCCGTGCAGAGCAAGATCAAAATGCTCGATAAACTGTTAGTATTATCACATGCTGAATTTACGGATGATAAAAAAATAATACATGCAATAATTAAAACTAGTGGTCCCCCGATAGTTGAAGACTGAAGTTCGACTATAATTAAATGAAATTATAAGTTTGTACACTATTATGATTCTGTTTTCAAAGACAGACTTCGCCAAGACTATACTTTAAACAAATATTAATAAAGACAAACAATATGAGTTCTAAGGTCTCAGTATAGTTACGACTGTCCCACCCTTCAAACCGAAACGCATTACTGCTGCACGGTGAACTCACAAGAGGTCCTACCACCAGTAAAAATGAATCCTTCATATGAACTGCGTAATCGAAACGTTTCTAAAAAAAAAGAAAGATTAAAATTTAATTTAATTTACGATGATTTTTCACGTATATTGTTTTTTTCAGTCCAGAACTGAAACCAGTCGAGAAGGAAATAGACGTGGTCCTGCGGTTTCCGGAGACAGAGCCGCTCTCGCCCCCCATATTGCAGCTCAACGAAGTCGGCTTCTACTATTCAAAGGACAAAGTCATATTCACAAATGTTAATCTGGGAGCGACCCTAGAATCTAGGATATGTATTGTGAGTCAATTTGTCTTTTATTCAAATTCTAGACGAGCGGTAGATGACAGTCGTACTGTCAATTCATTCTGAGATCAAACCGCTCAAACTGTGCCTTATTTCTCGTACTCGATGACTCTTCAATATCATTATTATTCCCCTGAATAAAGTCGCAATATTCTTAGGTAGGTTTCAATAGGTAGGTTTTTTAAATTACTTACTTACTAATTAATTACTACTGTTACTTTTGTTTACCTTCAACAAATGACTTAATTGACATGCACATTTTGGGAGTTCATTTAGTTTTACACGGTTCTGTCGGGAACATATCATCAGTGTGAATTTCTAAAAAAAAAAAAAATTGGTGTGGGAGATAGATGTGTCGCTCGACCGTACTGGTAGTGATTGAACATTAATTTTCCACGACAAAAATTTTTTTAAGAGATTTTATGATCTGGTAACTGAGACCTTTAAGTCATGTCTTATTTTCATTTATATTATTCATATTTTTATGAAAAATGATATTATGGAGTGAAATGAAATGAAGATGATTAATTTGAGACACTAATCAACTGGGATGAAATTAAATGAAATGAATTGATATGATATGGGATGAAATATAATCTCAATAAAATGGTGGTGGTTTACTAAGATTTTTTCAGTGGACTTTTTGGAGGATCCCGAGAAGTTACGTCCAGCGGCTTTGTTTCATTTTCCCACATTTCTGCACTTTCACAGATATTAAACAGTTAATAAACCACCATTATTACACATTTAAACCCGAAGAATCACTAAATAGACAAAATAAAACAAATCACACAACTTCACTCCTCGCGTTCCCGTCTCTACGATTAAAGACCGTTTTTCATCAATGAAGGCAGAAGGTCACTCATCACTACTGGATAATCATATTTTCCACATTTTCTTCAAAGGTGGGCGATAATGGCGCTGGCAAAACAACATTGCTGAAGATCATAATGGGTATACTATCGCCAACGAACGGGATCCGCACCGTGCACAGAGGGCTCAAGTTCGGTTACTTCTCGCAGCACCACGTCGATCAGCTCGAGATGAACGTCAACTCTGTTGAGTTGCTACGGAACAGTTATCCAGGTCGGTCAACAATTAATAAGTATAGCGAGTGACGCCGCGGGGCGAAGCTAGTCTAAAAGTAGCCTAAGTTACTCCTTATATCATCAGCTACCTATCAGTGAAAGTCTCGTCAAAATCGGTCCAGCCGTTCCAGAGATTAGCCGTAACAAACAGAAAGAAAGACAAAAAGAAATTGGTATATATACTTACGCATTTAGTAAAATGAGCTTATTTTATTATTACAAACAGACACTCCAATTTTATTTATTTGTATAAATAATCGGTTTTTTCTTCAGTGTCATAGAGTGTCATGGAGTGAAGTATATGATTCAGTAAAAAGAGAGTTCAGTTTTTTATAGCTTATTTATACTGTTTACTGTTTAATTTTTAATATTAATTTTAAAAGAGATTAAGGTTAATGTTGTTTTCTTATTATATCATAGAAAACACAATTAAGTATTTTATTGTCCCAACCAAACGGCAGAATTCGTAGTGCCTCAATCGATAAATAAAAGACCTAAACTTTTGTATAAAATAAACTTAAAACAAACAAAAGGAATCCGTCCGACGGGGGACACAAAAGGAAAAACAAAATTGTTATTTTTATTTAATTCCGAGCATTTTCATATTTTTCTTTTTAAACCTTCTCTGAACTTCCACAAATAATTCAAGACCAAAATTAGCCAAATCGGTCCAGCCGTTCTTGAGTTTTAGCAAGACTAACGAACAGCAATTCATTTTCATATATATAGATTAATTCTGAAATACTCCCTATCATTATATTTATATCTTGAAATACCCGCTAGCTCTTACTCTCCGCAGACCTAGATGAAAACGAAGCAGTCAAACGGATTCACATTCAGATTGAACTGTTCCGTTCATGTATTCAGGTAAACCGATAGAGGAATACAGGAGGCAGTTGGGTAGTTTCGGAGTGAGCGGCGACCTCGCGTTACAGACGATAGGCAGCTTGTCCGGGGGGCAGAAGTCGAGGGTGGCCTTCGCCAGGATGTGTATGGGAAACCCTAACTTCCTAGTTCTGGACGAGCCCACCAATCATCTGGACATCGAAACGATTGAGGCTCTAGGAAAAGGAATAAACAAATACACTGTAAGTACTTGCAGTACTGCAAGACCCGCAAAATTATAATTTGCGTAATTACTGGTGGTAGGACCTCTTGTGAGTCCGCGCGGGTAGGTACCACCGCCCTGCCTATTTCTGCCGTGAAGCAGTAATGCGTTTCGGTTTGAAGGGTGGGGCAGCCGTTGTAACTATACTAAGACCTTAGAACTTATATCTCAAGGTGGGTAGCGCATTTACGTTGTAGATGTCCATGGGCTCCAGTAACCACTTAACACCAGGCGGTTCCTCTTCCACCCATCTAAGCACTAAAAAAAGGTGCAATGACTCCAATGAGCACGCGATTAAGGAACTTTCCCTTGATTAGCCTAGAGATGGCGTTGTAAAGCATTACTATAACGCGCATCAGTGATGAGGTCGAATACTCGATTGTATCGTTACACCGGTTGTCTCAAACAGGAGCGCTTGACCATGTAGCCGAGCGTACAGAGTCTAGGTGTTTATCCGTGAGGGATTCTAATTCGCCCCACTAACACTAAAACTCTACTTTTATTGCAAATGTTTGTTTGAAAAATATTGAAAAGAGTTGACGATTCAGGTGTCTATTGTAATTGTCTATATATTAATACGTGAAGCAAAAACTTTTACCCCTTTTTGCGAAAATTGCGCGGACGGAAGAGTATGAAATTTCACACACTTATAGAGAATATAAAGAATGAGTGCAGTGTTCATATTTTTTTAAATTATGCATAAAAAGTATATTAAGTCAATAAAAAGAAACATTACACACACTACCATGTATTTGACACAAACACGCATATATACTTATATACTGTTTGTTTATATAAATTGTCAAACTTTTCTTATTGCTTATAGTCTGTGGTCAAATTGAGAATAGATTAACTATGTATTGTTTGTCTTTATTAATATTTGTCTATAGTGTAGTCTTGGCGAAATTTGTGATTATATAAATATAATAAATAGTCTGAAAATAGAATCATAATAGTGCACAAACTTATAATTTCAATTAATTATAGTCGAATTTCGAGCACCGGACGACCACTAGTAAATATATGTCACGAAATACCAAAAATATCGATGTCAAGTAAACAGACACCGAATATTTTTTTATTTTTTTATTGCCTTTCTAGGCAAATGAGCGTATGGCCCACCTGATGGTAAGTGGTCACCGTCGCTCATGGACGTCAGCAATGCCAGGGGCAGAGCCTAGCCGCTGCCTACCATTCCAAGCCGCTGCCTACCATTTTGAATTGTTTATTTTCAGGGTGGCGTGATATTGGTATCTCACGACGAACGGCTAATACGGATGGTCTGCAAGGAGCTTTGGGTCTGCGGGAACGGCTGCGTCACCAGTATAGAAGGAGGATTCGACGAATATCGCAAGATAGTCGAAAGGGAATTAGAAGCACAGAATAAATAGAAAAAATTACACGAACTCGTATACTAATTGTTTAGGATAATGTAAAAAGTATCTCTAAATTATACCGTTGTAATATATTTAGAGTTTCATTATTTATTTAACGAAATGAAAAACTATTATTTAATATCAATTGAAATTTTTATTTCATACCTCCAACCAGCTGTTGTCTGCATTGAATACATTCCCGTGCGAGACGGTACGCGTTTGAAAATAACGATGGCAATTAAAAAATATAATAATATCATTAAATTAAAATTGCGTATTTACAAATTAAAATTCAAATACATAATATACAATTATATTAGTAATGACTAATAGTAACAGAAGAGCTAAGCGTTTCTAAGCGTTAAAACTCAATTGCTCTGTTTAAAACACGATACTATTACTAGTAGTGAATTTAAAAATAATTAAAGTCTCCGGTGCCCTGGTTTCATTAAATGCAAAATGATTTCATATCTGTGATCGTAATGTTTCGGAGGGAAGTTTGTTAAAATCGATATCGTGTCTGCTAAATATATAAGAATATATTTATTTACTCTTATTTATATCGCGCTGTGACTAATTCCGGGTTTGTATTATGGCAATCCACGAACCGTGGTTACAATAGTATAGGAATTAATAGTTACTCTACCAGATCACAAAATAAAACTAAACTATATTACTTATGTCCAGTTGGCAAAGACAAATGGCGGTTGGATCACTCGACTCTTACTAGAAGTAAGAGGGGTCGATGATTTTAAAATAATTATTGATGCTTCTTTCGCCTGGTTTTAGTCTTATCGGCGTTTCTGAGCACCTCGGCGTAGGATAGCTCCAACTTCCTGAGTTTGTGTATTTCCTGCGAGGCGGTGCTCTGCTTTATGTCCCACGTGTCTGTCTCGGGGTTCCAGCCTTGATAGATCTTACCAGTTCGGCCACTCACGCTCGGTGTTGGGGAGTTGAAATTCCTATTGTAGAATTGCAAAGTGGTACCGTTCCATTCGGTGTCAGCTCTGGCGAGCGGACTTACTTCTATAGGCCTATAATCACGTTTCTTCTTGTTCGATGATTTCTGATAAGTTACTTTGGGCGGCGTAGGATACACCGGGCTGTCGGCGCCTTGTCGGTCCTGACTGTGTTTCCTGTTGCGATGTCTGGATTTCTTTCTAGTCGCCGCTATGTACTCCAGCGGCTGACGCACCAACGGTGTGAGCACTCGTTCTTTTTCCTTCTCTTGTTCGTTTGATATCTCGGTGGTGCTATCGTCCACTGGTTTGTTTTCTTTGTTATCACCCACCGCTTTCTTCTTGCTCGTTTCTGGAGTTACCTTTTCTTTCGGTTCGACTTTCACTTTATCTGGTTTCTCCTTCTCTGGTTCTTTGAGTGTGGGCGTTTCCGGTGCGGTGATATCAGAGACTGGAATGGATTGTTCAGACATGACAGATGAAAAAATGCTTTGAGTGTCATCGGTGAAGTTACCCGGGGGATCCTCCGTCGCCGGAGTGACGGGAGGCACTTTTCCCGCCGTTGTGTCATCTAGTAAGGGAAGTTGTTCACCGTCGTCTTTATTTTCGGCCGCTTTCTTAAGTATTGTAAAGATCTCTTTGAATAGTTCTCGATATTCCGGCCTGTTGCGGAATCGACTGTCCATTGGACTGACGTCGTCATAGATGCTGAAGCGGTAGTCCTCTCCATCTGCGATAGTACACAAGAACGAACCGGGTCGCTCGCGTTCAGTTTGCGTTGCCTTGTTGCTCGTCTCATCCGAAAATCCGGAGCTTGAGGTCTCTGCTTCGGAAAAGTCCGGGGTTTGAATAATTTTCTTTCGTGATGTTGGCTCAGGTTTCTGGGGTTGTTTGTCGTTGTTTTGAGTTTCATCAGCATGGCCACTCTCCTCATCGGTATCTTTGATGCTGAACTGACTGTAATCTCCTGATGTTTGAAGTTCATCTTGAAGCGAGACCGGTCCTGATTGGTTCTGCGAATTCGGCGTAATGTTCTGTTTGTTCTTCTTTATGTTCTTAACTTGTGACAGCTGCACTTCGAGTAGGGCCTCATACTTTTCAACCAGCTCTCTGTATGGGTTTGCATTACCATCGTCTTTATTGGCCCATGTACCTTTCAGTAGTTTTTCCTTGGCGTTCTGTAAAATGATGCATAGCGCTGATTTTAATTTCAAAAATCTTATAATACATTAAATGACACTGAATTAATTTATTGTATAGTATATATTTAGTGTAAATGCTTTAAATTATGAATGTTTAAAAAGATAATATTGATGAATGACATTAGCCGTGACTGAAACAGATAGTACCAGTTAGACTCAAAAGATCAATAGTCAACAGACATTGCAACGAATTAAAAAGTATAAATTAATGATTTTTTTAATAATTAGTCAAAATTGCATTCAATTACTGCGGTATTTTGCGTACATATATATGTCAACAATATTTTATTGTTACGGACACCAAAAAAAGCTTGAGACTCGAACTATGAACAAACTAGTAATGGTGCACTTTCGAGGAGAAAAATCAAGTTATTTTTATTACAATTAGTGGTAGTTTTCCAATTACAGAGCATAATGCGTCTCAGTGACGCACAATGCCGAATTATGCTGAAGCTTAATTGGAACGTGAATTAGTTTTCAAATGCATCAGCAGAGTGCGCTAAGTTAGCACAGTTTTAATTAACATTGATTATTTCTAAGAAACTACGACGAAACGAAAGCCTTACAATTTTTTTCAACATTAAACAATATTACTGACGATAATATAAACAAAATTTCGATCAATGCCAACTTAAAGAAAAAACACTTGTCAATTTTCTGTCACTGAGTCGGTATCGATTGCGAGTATCACGCGAGAGCAGTACTTTTGAGAGTGCTCGATTGTGCGAAGCGTTGCTGTAGTTGGAACATTCAACGTTGAGCATTATGCCGCATAATGCGCTCTTGTGCTGTAATNATATTACTAACGATAATATAAACAAAATTTCGATCAATGCCAACTTAAAGAAAAAACACTTGTCAATTTTCTGTCACTGAGTCGGTATCGATTGCGAGTATCACGCGAGAGCAGTACTTTTGAGAGTGCTCGATTGTGCGAAGCGTTGCTGTAGTTGGAACATTCAACGTTGAGCATTATGCCGCATAATGCGCTCTTGTGCTGTAATAGGAAAACTACCAGTGTTACATGTTACACAGCACAGGAAGCTTTAAGCGTATTTCATTACCGACTATGCTACAAGCACCCATCACTTCAATCCAAATGTTATTGACCTAAATACCCATACCAAAATGTAACAAAAAAGTTATCGTTTAAACCATCACCAATTGTGTCCAATCATCGTGCAATACGCGCTTAGTGTAATAACGTGTCGGCAATGACGTACCTTTTGACTACATACGATATATCCAAAGAAAACTACTGCAAATGCGCTTCATAATGCATATGCAAAGCGTGATCAACAACATCAGGGGCAGTTGGAAAAGCTTTGTCGCCTAGAAATGAGCGAAACGTTCATGTGAGATAAGTCTGCCGAGGACATCGTCAGCCAACGTGAACGAATAGGGAAACGAGAAAGTTCTTCATGACTTGTGTGCAAATTCAAGATAACAGAGCGCGCACGGAATATATATTAATAAAATTGTATACATTCCGACGTTCATCGATTAGTTCAGCAGTTGTTAATACAGTTAGTTGTTTGCTACATACAGACACCGCATTTAGTGTGTCAGTTTGGTATATTAAGATTTTTACACAATATAGAAACTATAGTCGGTAATTTACACATTTTTAAGTAAAGCTGCGTCTAATGATATACATTTGTTATATGTTACAGAAGAGTTTTAAATGTTGAAATTACATTAATAAGCCAGTCATCATTAGATACAGCAGGGATGATTGATAGTTAATAGAAATATACTACACACAGATGAAAGTCAAGCTATAGTTAATGAAGAGTTTTCTACAGATAATGGCATGCATGAAAGCTATGGATAGGCTTACGTCGAATTTGATGAGTTTATTGGTGACATCTTCACGTGGGCTGTCTTGTCCCGATGGAGGCAATATGACGGAGCTGATGGCGCTTCGGTCGTCGTCATCACCATCGAGCATAGAAGACATGTCATCTCGTTCGACACCTCTCAGACACCTGATACACAATTGGCCTTGTCTGAAATATAAAGAAGATTTAGAAAGATTAATTATTATTTTTATGTTATGTTTTACTCAAATAATTTTACTCCCCGGTTGATTGCGATCATAAAATGTCACTTCGAATAGTGTACTAAGCAATGATATTTATTTGTTACTAGCTGACCCGGCAGACTTTGTAGTGCCTCAAATAAAAGGAATCCGTCCGACGGGGGACACATGAAAGGAAAAACAAAATTGTTATTTTTATTTCATTCCGAGCATTTTCATATTTATCTACCTTTCTTCTCTGGACTTCCATAAATAATTCAAGACCAAAATTAGCAAAATCGGTCCAGCCGCTCTCGAGTTTTAGCGAGACTAACGAACAGCAATTCATTTTTATGTTTTTTAACTACTTACCTGACTTCTTCGAGAATAGAGAATTCCTCTTGCATTGACTTGGGCTCATCTTCTCTCGTATGCCAGTTCCTAAGCTGGTCGTGTAGTCTGTTGTTCTCTTGCACCATAGAAGCCAATTGCTCCTCCAGTTCAGTGACTCGTCTCTGCTCTTGTGCGAAAGCCACTTTACTCTCTCGCAGTGCATCGCTAAGCCTCAGTAAATCCTCGTCCTCTTTAGTCAGTTCCGGGAGAGGTGCTACCGTCTTCGGTGTACTATTTACCTCGTGTTTCTTGCAATTCTGCGATGGTTCAGATTTCTCTTTCTCTTTGGGTTTTTCGCTTTCGGGTTTTCGTTCAGCTCTTCGCCTGTAGATCTCTAGTTGAACGTTAAGTTCGTCCACAGTCTTTTGTAGTTCTTCGCATTTGGCCTCCACAGTGTCAATGTTTGAGCATAATCTGCAATTATGTAATTCTTAATTAATCAGATGCTTATCATACACGGATATATATATACCTCTACCTACCTGCTTAGCGAAAAAAACAAATATTATTATTAATATAAAATATACGTAGGTTATTAACATTAAACATTTTCAAGTTTGTATAATATTTTATTTTGTTGAAACATTTTAGACATTACGGAAGTGATTTTAAAATCAAAATATATAAAAGATTTCATCCTTCTTTGAGTGTTTTCGTATTAAACATCATCGATTTGTTGTTATAAAGATCTTAAGATCATTGGTTATATATATGCACCGGATGTTCGATAATCTGAAGAGATTCGATTTGATCATAGTAAAGATACTTACGACTTAATGTGTTTCTTGTCGGCTGCATGATCGACAGCTAGTCTGTGGTTAGCTCGTTCTAAATCTTGAATACTGAGTTCCAGTTGCTCATAAATCCTCAACCTTGAATCATTCACCTCTCGCAAAGCAACCGTTTGCTTTGTAAGATACTGAAACAACAAAATAATTGCATTAAATTCAAACGCCTAAAACGTTTTTTATATAACATAATAAAGTGTTAAATTAACATTAAACATGTTTTTTTTGTTGTAGCTTCAAGGTTCCGGCTTTGCGTACTTTATTATTTTGATTTTAGTGATTAAAATCAAAACAGAACTGGGTAACTTATTTCTTTAATCATACCGGTTTTTATCTCATATAAAAACCTTTTGACTCGTTTTGTTTGATATCAAAATGGGTTAACATTTTTCGTTTAAATTCTAAAACTTTAGAGACTTGAATTGTCTAATTTGTAAAATAGATAGCGAGTCAGTATTAGTAGGTATTTAGTTATGGTCCAAATCCTGAAGGATCGTACAAATGTATACGTAATTTTATGTAAATACGTACATACGGAATATGTAGATATGTGTTTTGTGTATTTGTTTTTTTTTTTTGTATCTTGTATGTGCGCGGTCCGGTTATGTCAAACAATTTTTTTATGTACGTATATACACTAACTATATTTATATATTATATATTTTATTCACTCACTTCGATTTCTTGTGCTTGATCTTCAATAACATTTTGATGCTGGCGAAGGGCTGTCTCGAGTTCCTTGTTGCGTTCGAGTAGGGTTTTCCCGAGTTCGGCCGCCAGTTGCAAATCTGAAAACGAAAGTCATTTAAAGAATCCGTTCCTCATATAGCGTATTTAAAATTTAACCTTGGCCGAGTGAAGTTTGTCAATTCTACTTGTTTCAGNTTCGATTTCTTGTGCTTGATCTTCAATAACATTTTGATGCTGGCGAAGGGCTGTCTCGAGTTCCTTGTTGCGTTCGAGTAGGGTTTTCCCGAGTTCGGCCGCCAGTTGCAAATCTGAAAACGAAAGTCATTTAAAGAATCCGTTCCTCATATAGCGTATTTAAAATTTAACCTTGGCCGAGTGAAGTTTGTCAATTCTAGTTGTTTCAGACTGCTTATATGCAACAATATGAAGAAATCTCATTTTGTTGCGACGATTTGGATACTAGGAATTGTTTTAAGCCATATCTAGTAATAAAACAGTAAAATGAGCTATTAAATTTCTTCGTCTATAATAATAAAACGTAATTCAATATTGAATATCTACCAAGGGAGCATCATTGAATTTCGTGAAAGTCATCGTCAATGCTTTCTTTTTATTGATTTGAATTTCAATTCGCAACAATTTAATTAGTAACTAGCACATTTCGTGGGCTAGTTACTAATTAAAAAAAGGGGATCGAGTTAATCTAAAACCTGATTAAATGAATTGCTTGATGATTGATGGGAAACTCAGAATTAACATATCCGAGTTATGCCCGATGGCTAAGACAGGTTCTTATTCGGAGTACAATTGATTGACCGGTAATCGGTAAAAATTTACAAGAAACTTAGACGTTTTGCAATACCGTATTATACATTGCTGGCCAATGCAGTATTTTGTCAAGCAAAACAGATACACGAAGAGTAAAGAACGATGGACTTTATAACAAAAACGTGAAAGGCAAACTGATAACCTTGTCGAAGGAACAATGCTAAAATAATACTTAGATTTCGAATTGAGGTCAATGAATACGTATGTATTGTATGGAAGTTGAAAGTAGACATTGGGATTGGAGAAATTATGATTGAAAGTCTAAACAGATTTCTGAGAAGTAAAGGTCAAAAGGTAAACGTGCACCTAAGAAACATACAAGAAACCACAAACAAAAAGAAAAAAAAACTGTACATGCTAACTCAAGCTAGCATGGTTCATAAAAAAGACAACCAATATTAATATTTAATTGAAATTGTTTCATGATCGTTTCCCTCGTTTCGATGATTAGATAAATAGGGTCGAAAACATTTTTCGCTCTAAAAAGCAAACTTCAATGAATAGTTTATTACGCACCTAAAATCACTTAAAATGCAACCGAAAAAAAAAACGGTTTTAAAAATGAGTCGACTATTATCAAAGCCGGCAATGTGACTTTTGGACAATTATTGGTAAATCAGAAAAACGAATTATTGACTTTGTATTCCATTGGCAGTCACAAAACTCTTCTGAACGACATCTTAGATAAATAACAGGTTAAGTATTCACCTTTATTTAATGCAGGTTTTGAACCGTATTCTTTGAAGGAGACGATTATATTCAAATCAATCTGTATTGACATATCAATAACATTTTTTTGTCCAAATGCACAGATTGCCACCTTTGATAATAGACGACTCAAATAACCGAAGAATTACAGAGCGCCGTCTACATAAACGCAACAACACGCGAAACTATTTTGTAATTTGCATTCCATTCTGGTACCATTAATACATAATCTTTGTTTCTCATTCTCATTTCGAATCGTAACAATCGTGTAACACAGGTAGTCAACTCGGCATTTATCGTCGTTCGCATGCAAGACTTTGGTGCAGTCACGCGACTTTGATGTTTCCACATTTTCAATTAATGACTATGCATCACCATTCACCACCAAGTTTTTTTCACCACAAATACTGGATATGTTCAAATAACGTATATTTCGTACAGAAGAACTAATCTATACTAGTATTATAAAGAGAAAAGATTTGTTTGTTTGTTTGTATTGAATAGGCTCCGAAACTACTGAACCGATTTGAAAAATTCTTTCACTGTTTGGAGTCTACACTATTCCCGAGTGACATAGGCTATAATCTTTTTTGAAAAAATTAGGGATACTTATTAAAACTTCAATAAACAATCGCAACAGCATGCGTCTAACTGTTATAGTTATGCCGCAATAAGTGTTATTTTATTTAAAAAATAAAACAACGTCAAATATCATTGAAATTTGTGTTGACCCGAGCGGGGCCGGGCGGGCCGCTAGTGTGCTAATAATTTGATGGGCTATTAATTCGATAGGATGGATATGCCGTCCAGGCTTCGGATTGGTACTAGAAACTTGCATCGTCATTATTAAACTATTACAATTACAATCGTATCGTCTTACGAATATAAGCATCTGCCCCATTTTTCCACATAACCTCCTCTTACCTACCTATTACTTCTTTAATATTTTCTAATTTGATATTTTCTTCGGTTCGTGCGGGGTGTTATTTATTCGTTCGTGCCTAAGAAAACAGTAGAATATACGAAACCTCGGAAATAATAATCATCATCATCAAAAATCGTCATTCTCCTGCCCTTCTCCCAGTCACCTGGGGTCAAGTGTTTTCTCCTTCCATACTCCTCTATCATATACCATTTCTTCGCTCACTCCTCTCTTACACGTATCGTCTTTCACGCAATCTATCCATTTCTTCTTAGGTCTACCTCTTCCTCTACATACTTCCATATTCACTCGTTTACCAACCTCATTTTCATTTCGTCTCATCACACGTCCATGCCATCCCAAACGCGCACTTCTCAACTTTTCCGTCACAAGTGCCACTTTCAGACTTCCTTTAACATATTCATTCCGTATATTATCCATTCTCGTTACTCCACACATCCATCGCAACATTCGCATCTCTGCTGCATGCAATCGCCTTTCATCGGAAATAATAATATGACATTAAAATACTCGAGATTAAACCGTAAAACTAGTTTTAACTATAATTTCCGTTTTTATTAAAAGTGATAGTGCATTTTGTGAGCTTTGACGAGTCGGCACAATGCCCCTGTCTAAATCAGGCAGCTGCTCTTCCAATGCAATTGAGTGCGACCTAATTTATCAAAGTAGGCGGCATTTCCGTCGTGATGTCAGTGCACTCCGTTAACAGCTNTAAAATACTCGAGATTAAACCGTAAAACTAGTTTTAACTATAATTTCCGTTTTTATTAAAAGTGATAGTGCATTTTGTGAGCTTTGACGAGTCGGCACAATGCCCCTGTCTAAATCAGGCAGCTGCTCTTCCAATGCAATTGAGTGCGACCTAATTTATCAAAGTAGGCGGCATTTCCGTCGTGATGTCAGTGCACTCCGTTAACAGCTTGACATCAAGTAGACTATTGAAAAATATCGGTCCCCTCCTTGCCTATCTAGAAAAATGAACTAAAAACTGTCGCCCATGAATTAACTAGGAAAATTTTATGAAAGCTGTTTCGCTTAGCTTTACTTTTAATTTTGGAAAATTTAAAGTAACTTACAAGGTCCCTAATCAGGACGTAAGAAGGAGGCGACCTTTTTGTTATCGCCGTGCCGCGGGCGTGGCAAAATTCTGTAGCAATAGCTCACAAAAACGTTATTCGATCACTTATGTACTGCTAAAATTAATTTTATAAACTTTCGGCGGTCATGAGAGAGAGATGAACTTGATACCAATTACCTATGGGAATTTAGACGGTCGAGCTTGTATTTAAAAAAATATTAAGAGCCGGCCAGTTTCTGATCGTTGTAAACTTTTGGATTTGAGTAGCTTGATATATTTTGTATTTACTGTATATTTACGTTAATCTTATTAACTTACGTTAATTACGTTATCTTTTAACGTTAACAGCCAATTAATAACACAGTTTTTAATTTGTACATTATATTAATAAGGACCACTTGGCGTCCATTAACGACAATTACTCTGCAAAATCTAAATAAAAATACTCATTGATCGGTCAGAAGAAGATACTAAAAAAAAAGTTATAGCTACGTAACTTCCACCGATAAAAACTAGTAAATAAATTATCGAATGCTTCTTGTACAATTTTTTCTCGTCCTTATCTCGCACCGAAGCGTCTGTTTTTTTACGGTTCAATTCGCTACACCGTTGTGGGCTGCAAGTCAGTAACCTGCCCTTTATTTAGTGAAACAAAGATATATTTTGATTTTAAAACATAATACTACAAACATAATAAATAATACTGTCGTTTGGCAAAACTATCAATCAAATTACAAGATGTGTATGTACTTAATTTTTTGAAGAAAATCGTTTCTCATTTATTTCCAACTTTTCAAGGATACTTTGCTTACCAAGATCTAAACAAATTAGTGAGACAACAAAACAAGTTTGTTATTTATTTAAAATATGTTCATGTTAAATTCGTAAGTGGTATAGATATAATTTCGGCTAAAAGTAAGTAATATGCGATTCCGATATTGAAAAAATATATAAAGTTTAATCAAATGAACATAACTATGAAGTTGGCACACAATGCACAATACTCTCACAAAATTACCAAACTTTCTCTTACAATCACGCTTAATGTTATTAGACCATAGTTTTCGATGGCCAAAGACGAGGCTGTCATCATTTTCACTAACAATGGTCGAATGGGTAATGCAGATAACAATGCAAGCAGCAAAGCAGACAATGGTGCAGCATTGACTGCTAATATCTGACAATAAATACGATTTTTAAATAAAATATAATTTACATAACTGAGTAATTATTTATTGAATAGTTTGTCAATGTCTTATTTGTTTTTAAAATACGCAATTGGAGGTTTTATGTCGGTTATTTTTAACGGACAAGCCGCTACGTGTAAGTAGCACTATTTTGAAACAATCTTAGTTATCTGCGAACGGAAAACGCTCTAAGACAATAAACTAATTGCTTCACACAAAAGACAATGCTTAGATAATTATTGGTAATGGTATGTAATTAGTGTGATTGTGGCGCCTCTACAATGACCTCTGCACCGTGACATTTTAACGGGGCCTTACATTTACTTAATATTCGGGTCATTGCAGGAGGAATTAAAGGTAAATTTGTGCAGATGCATTTACTGTGTAAAAATGAATGCTATTGTAAATGAGATTCCGCTTTCGCTTTAGGTTATATTAAAAAAAAATATTTCACGTAAAATATTTAAATTATTTGACGGATTTCAGTAAAATAAGACACTCTCGTCTCATAATTTTTTTTTTTTTAAAGTTAATCAACGAAAATCGAATTAAATTGTTTTTTTTAATTGTAGGGAAAATATTAAATATTTTCGAATATATTCAATTACGTAGAAAGCAGAAAATTTACGCTACTTAAAAGATGTGACTTAGAGATTTGGTAAAATGTTACTTTACATGAGTTTTCCTATTTCCGTATTCCCATTTATATTTATCTAACATTAAGTATCGTTTTTGTTGCATAATGAAATTTAGAAAATCTTAGATAAGTATCTAGGAATCGACATTGTAAACAGTTAAATATTCCATTATGCTTGCGGTAATTTTTCCTCTGTTCTCTGTTCTTGAAATGTCAATATTGATCAACAACATTTCCAAAACATGAAACAGCATATATGACTAGGTCGAAGGAATTGAGGCAAATGCAAATGTACATTTAATTGTAAAATATCAGACAGCAACAGTACTTTCATATCATTCGTTTACTAGTTTAGTCACGGCTGATAGTGTTAAATGCGTTTTTATATGCTAATTAATATTTTAATGTTGTGTTATGTGGATTCACTTTTACAGAGATTGCATAAATGCTTCAAAAGGGAAAAATTACTTTATATAAGTTCGTGGTCCGCATACGTATCGTTAATTTTTTAGTGATGTTTACGAATACGATCCAATAATGATTGCTTATGACGAATTCGCTGCTTATAATATTTATTTTTAATTAATGTGTATGATGCTTAGGTATATCGAAATTAAAAACAGATTTTGCCGACCTTATGTTTCAAAGTTGGCAGAGTTAGTGCTATTTTCTATGGGTTCCGTGACACACAAACTGCGCCAAAAATTAATTGTTATAAGAATGAAAAAATCAAAATGTTTCCTTAATAGATACTTAAATAGTAAATTCTTAATAACAATAATGTAGAATGCACACTCGTTTGTATCCGACTATGTACATTAAACAAATACATATTATCTAAATTAGGAAACTTATCATATCGGAACTCATTAGTCTCGAGGAAAATTATAGACATTATTTTTACTGAATTAGATTTGATTAATTTTTATTTATTATTATAAACCAAGAGTCGTTTTAGAATAAAGTATGAGATCATTCGAATGTAATTCATTTTCACAATGGTTACATTTAGTTACAAAATATATTTATTATATGTTTTCTTCAGTGAGGAGATCATTGAGATGGACATCTGAAAATTAACCAAAACTACGTATGCAAAAAACGATTATTTATGACTCGCGCATTATCTGTGGAACAATTTGAATGTTTAAAACATAATTGCGTCAGTGTTGGACTTAAAAAAGATAAGGATTGCATCGGTTTTATCATCAAAACACAAATAACTCTTTATGTAATTGTTAACCTGTTTTTAATCTTTTCAGGATTCATATTTTCGTCAACGCAAAAGTAAATGCTTAATAATAATTATGAAGAACTGGGCCAACGAATTAGCCGTCATTGTATCAATGTGTTAGAATAGTGTCACGACTCACGAGCAATAAATAGTATGAGTATTCTCCTCGTTAAACAAGTACCATTGAGCGTGATATATTTTTTTAACCAAATACAGTTTTTGTATTATCTAAGGATATTTTTTGGTAAATGCCAAAGACTGTTGAGCGCGTACTGCGCGATTGCATTATCAAATATAGACTAAGTACTTAATTCTTCATAATCTATGTATTTGAAGTAAAGAAATGAAGCAATCGACGCCACTTCTCGATGATATTTCGTTTTATAAATTTTAAACGAAAAAGAAGCCATTGCTGCTATAGTACATTGGTCGATAATTTCATGGACTGTAATTTTTTTTTTTTTGTACTTATATATTATTGGCGAGTCTACGGTGCCAACGTCGACAGCGGAGCCTCGCACGAGACCTTACAACACAAACCTTCAGTTCCTTGCAGGCACTCCAGCTCGACGGTGTAGTCCCAAAGATCAAGAGAATTCAACCCGTTCAGCTCCCAAGAATTGAATGAATCGCACTGTTCTTGTTCCTCGCTCATTTTAACGTCCAAAGTTCACTGACGACGTGTACGTCGCTTTCAGTTAAGTTGCAGCCATATTTCGTTGTTAAAGTTTTGATGGTCGCGACGGCGCGAGCACCGTGGCGTCACAGAACAGACTGAGCTGGTCTGACTCAACCGAACCGCAAAGCAATTACCGCGCGCCATTACCCGTCATTCCGAATCTACATTCAATCTCATTTCTTTCGGCTCGCCTCAACAAGAAGACATTAAACAAAAGTTGCCATACTTACTGGCGTTGTTCATAATCGAACAAAAAACAACCTAGTCGATAGCAGAGAAAGTAATTTACGGTTCTGCTTCTATCTAATCAAGGAAGTATTTTAATATGTAAAATGTATGTGTCGGTAGACGGTGCGCTTACAGAACATTATTTAACTGATATGAATGATTTTTACGTATGTATTATATGGAGTTAGGAACATCAACAATTTAGTTTTAGCTTTTTTACTATTAAAATTTTCACAGTATTGTGAATAGAAATTATTGGTATGGAATAGCACCATCCAGTCCTCTGATGTCTATGATGTGATTGAGAGAACTAAGGAATTTACCGGAGAATGGATAGTAAGAGTTCTATGAATATTATACCAGCATATTAAGGTCGCATTTACTGGCGAGAGTTGCATGGTTAGGCAGCACAATTCGGCCTATTTCTGACGAGAAGAACACATGCCTTCCAGCTTAAAGGCTACGGAGGCCGTGATACAATTAAGATTTCGAACTCGCATTCCAAGGTGGGCGGCGTCATTCATATCATAGATAATACACATATTCTCATGTCTATGGTCTCTGATAACTAACATTAAGATTCCATCTACAATAATTAAAATTAATAATTAAAAAGGCGTTTTAACGTTAATTAAGGTTTTTATTTATAATTGTCTAATATCCTAAACTGGTAGATGAAGGCGGTCCACTGGATGTTGCTTCCGGGTGGTAGCGTCATAGGCAATGCCAACCAAAGGAAACCCGACCGCTACCATTGTTGATGACATAGGAGATAACAAAAATAATAATTATAAGCACTTTGGAGAAATATTCATTACAACACTGCTAATGACTGTACACAAGCTAGATTTATTTTTTTAATTAGAATTCGCCTTGAATTTTCATTCGAAACGAAATAAAAACAATTGTATTTTAATACTATATACACAGCTCGAGTGATCTAAATTTACAAATTTACGAGCGAATCATTGCTTCTATGTGATAAAATAATTAAATTTTGGTCTAAAATAAACTTGTTTTTGAAGGTTATTCTGAGGATTTTTTGTTTATTTGTATATTATTATGTACAATGTAATTAGTAAGGGATCGCCATTACATTAGGCAAAACTTCATCAGCGGAACGTACTGTATTGCGTTGTGCACAATTAAATATATATTTTTATAAGTATTGCGTAACATCTGTGGCTTATTGCTCTTTGTGCATTTTTTCTTGCGATAATCAAGTGAATGTAAAAGTTTACATTTTTGTTTATTTATAAATTGTTCACCGCGTATTTCGCACATTTTTATTTTATTATAGTTAATGTGCTTGTAGGTGATTTTTTAACAAAAAAAACTTATAATAATTAACTGAAGAAGAATATTAATTTGATTATCGTTTTTATAATCATGAGTACCTTATATATGAATTGATAACTGATATTTAGATTAGCGATACCAATTGCTATTCATGGTCATAATTCAAGGGCAATGAGTAATTAATAAAACTATGAATCAAATAAATTAAATTCTTTAAATTTGATTAACAATAGCTTTACTTAAAACTAAACTGTACGAAAGTAAAAAGTTGAACTGTAATGCGTTTGGAACAAATACCTAAAGGTTTTTGCACTAATTTTAATAGGATCAAATCTGTTTGGAATGTGTATGGGACAGCTGCGGTACATAGTTGAAAAACGGCGGGCTAGTGTGAGTCGGACAGTGCCCAAGTGCTGAATTACATAGTTTAAGGATAAAAATGTTACTCAAGAAAATATTTTCTAATGAGATGGAACGAAAAAAAAAATACTTAAGATTCCTCCTATGGGCAAAATAGTCTCGGGTTATAATGATCATGAATACGGGCAGGCAGACGCCACGAAAACTAGAAAGGTTCTGTTTTTTAACCAATTAAAAAAAAGGAGGTGTTCCGAATTTAAATTACATTAAGATCTTAATGAAGCACCGTAACTAAACGAGGTTTTTTCGATTTTATGAAGATTTGTTGTCTTTAAAAATATATTTCTAAAAATATTGTTTTTTGGTCTTATAAAGACGCCTTTCAACTTAATGAAGCAATATCTTTCAAAATGAATACTCTCAACTCTTCCAACATTCCGAAATACCGCCAATAGTTAGCTAATAACTAGGGCTAGGGTTGTCACGGTGAGATGCACCTCACGTGGAACGCCTCAACCTGTCATCCTGCCTTAGTTGAGTCCGTCGACAACCCGCTTACTAAGCGATAAGGAGGGTTAGCCGATTCAATTTCGACATGCTCTGCTGAAAGCCTTGGTAATCTTAGTACAGACAGATGATGCAGTAGCTTAAGGTGGTTGGTAATACATCGCACGTTCTGATTAGTTTCGTCTAGTAAAACAGACAGTAACTTGTATGATCCTCTGACATTCTAAAGTATCAGTTTTTCGATGATTCAGGGAATTTGAAGATGAAGAAAGGATAATTTTGTTGGGCGACGAAAGAAATGGCAAGTTTTAATGAAATGTTCATTCAAAGGAAAATTGTAACGACAAACTTAGTTTCACGGGTGGATCACAACTTAACAAAAAAAAAAAAATCGGCCTTTGTCCTAACGTTTATACTAGGTTTTTCCGGTTAATTATAAGCAAAAAAAAAAAACCTTTTTTGGTATAAAGTTTGCTTTTGTGATAGTTATAGTAATAATACTCATTTACCAATTTTTTTATAAATTTTAATTAATTTTAATACTTTCATCAAAACCGCGCTATGAGAATGAGGTGTTTACATTTACACAGTGCCACTAGATGGCACTCGAGTCATAAACAACGATCAGGTGTTTTGTACAAACCATGTACAAGCCCAGAAAAACTTCAAATGTCACGAAAGTGTAAATACGATGTTGATGCATNATAATACTCATTTACCAATTTTTTTATAAATTTTAATTAATTTTAATACTTTCATCAAAACCGCGCTATGAGAATGAGGTGTTTACATTTACACAGTGCCACTAGATGGCACTCGAGTCATAAACAACGATCAGGTGTTTTGTACAAACCATGTACAAGCCCAGAAAAACTTCAAATGTCACGAAAGTGTAAATACGATATTGATGCATTTTGTTTCATATGTGGTAAATTTTTTAAAGTTAATTTTTTTTCGTCTAATTACGATCTAAAATATCGAAATTTTATGCTTTGCAATCAAAGTCAAATTTGGTGTTGACCCGTGTTATGTATCAAAACATTCAACGTAGGTAGGTATATTATGGAATTCATTCTACAAGGGATCTCTTCGCAAACAAAAGCAAATATCACAAGATAATTCGCATGCTCTGAAAACGATTAGGTACCTATTGGTCAATTCACTTGGTCGGTGTGTACACTAATGCATTGCGTCAGGCGTTCGGGTGCGTTGACATGTTGGCCAATTTATCTCGATTATCAACTAAGCATCATATTACTTGTCACAGAGTGCGTTGATCACCGTTCACGCAACATAATATTAAGTGCTTGATTACCGCCGACTATAATTAAATTGATACAAAACCAGCTACGCTCACGCTACGTCGAGTAGGTAATACGCTTGTGTATTTTGAAATTGATAAGAGATTCGGCGTTTTCGTATCAAGAGATTTGACTATACCAGAGTTCGAATCTTACGGCATGTACCAATTTTTATGTAAAGATAAATATGTACTTAATATACAGTATTAATTACGACATTGCACGCAGAGTGTGCGTCTGTGAAATTAAGATAAATCTTTAAAATAAATTGTATAGGAAATGAAATGATATTACAGCATCGAAAGTAAAATCATTTTTCCATTATATCAATTAAGTAAATACTTTTCATTAAAAAATACTTACTTCTATATTGCATTTAAAAAATTGAACTTTATGCCTTCTCGGTACTCTGTTTATTTCAGCTTCCTTGTTCATATAATCATATTAGTAAATATAAATCTTCGTGGTAAAAATCATTAATACAATTGTTTCGATATACAATCTCTAGGTTTTAGTGACCGTGTCAAATTCAAGTGTTTTTTTTTTTAACTCATCAGCGTACCTACTCGCAGTAGCGCTTAAGCTGCAAATGTCGTTTTATGTAACATAACAGACATTACAAAATTATTTGCTACATACGACGCCGAACCAGAGTAATTGGTATCAACAGACATGACGAAATAAGTTTGTTCGCTCTTAATCTTTAAATTAATATGTGAAGCGAAAACTTTATACTATAAACTTATACCTTAAGATTGCGCGGGCGGAGGAGAATGAAATTTCCCACACTTATAGAGAATTTAAAGAAGAAGTGCAGAATGCAATTTTTTTTGTAATTATGCAAAAAAAAACATTATATCAATAACATTACGCACACTACTATGTATTTGACAAACACACGCATATATATACTCTTTTGTTTATTGTTAAAGTTTGTGGTCAAATTGAGAATAGATTAATATTGTTTGTCTTTAAAAATATTTCTGTAGCGTAGCCTTGGCGAATGCTGTGAAGAAGTAAGTGAAGAATTGCCTTTGACAATAGAACGATAATAATGTTCTAAATTATAATTTAAATTAATAATTATGGTCGAATTTCATCCACGGGACGACTAGTAAAATATACAAAGTAAAATAACTTATACTTACTTAAGTACTTATACTTACTTAAGTATAAGTACTTAAATTACTTATACTTACTTAAGTATATTTTATAAATTATTATTAAGTATAGTATTAAGTATTAAGTATATTTATAAAGTTATTTTACAGATTTAATTCAGAATCCAAATTGAAAGAACTTTTTTTATTTTGTATTACAAACAAATAGTATAAAACGTTGTTTTAAACAAGAAAGCGTTCTGAAGTCAAGTATTCGCGGAAGAACGAGGAAAGGT